AATTAATTAATTAATTAATTAGCTAATTAATTGCTTGGCGCACTAAGACTTAGAATATCACAATAATATATATATATATATATATATATATATATATATATATATGAGAATATATATATATATATATATATATATATATATATATTATGAGCTATACGTATGTTGCTGCATAGATTATTTAACTTTAACTTATACAACTTAAATATGTTTTTCATTAATTTAAGGGATTGATTCCACCTCTCAATTTTCTTTTACCAAATTTGGCCTCTTTTTTAATATTTATTTCTATTTTTTCTTATGTTTAGGGATCGCCTCCACTTTCCAACTATTCTTTTAACTATATCAAATTCGATTATCTATTGTTTTCCTTGCATTGTCCTTTCTTATTAATGCATAGAATCTATGTTTTACAGAGTAAAATAATCAAAATACAGTAGTTAATTATAGCAAAATAGAATAGAAATTATCATTGGCAGGGATAATCGGACCCATGAACTGGAGAGAAAATAATAGGTATTGGGTGAAAAGCATATTAAAAACTGGGATAAACTTTTAAAAGTCTCATCAGAGCGACATATGCAGAAGCTTGGCATATGGAGAGCTTCTGCATATGTCGCTTTGAGGAGACCTAATAAGGTCGAAATACATATAAGCAAATGGTAGTATCCACCACGGCAAAAGGATATTTTTGGAAGAATGCAATTTGTAGATTGCCCTTATAGGATAATACATCAATATGTCTGCTTTATATATTGAAAAAAGCGCAGTAGCCAAATATCTGAATTTTAGTTTCGCCAAGTAAAAACTTCGGATTTCTACCATTTTTGTTAAATGAAACCTAGTAAAACTTTTCTATTAAACATTTCTCGATTCTATTGACTAATTAAAGTTAAGATTTCGTTACTGAAACGTTCATCTCTACTTAAGAACAACTATCAACTTTGATTATAGTAATAACGGATTATTCTCTTTGTTCGATCGGCGATTGCCATCAGATCTCAAGGCATCGACAGTACTCTTCCTACTCACCCACAATCAGTGATTAAGCACCGAGTACTACGCTAAATGTTATATCTACTTATGGTTAATTCCGTGTAACGATGTCGAAGCACCGATGGAAGGTCATTTGGTCCGAAGAAAGCCAAGGCTGGATAGTAAATACAGGGTGTTTAAGTACCGACTAGCGATTTAGCAAGAAATAGGAATCAGGAACTTATGATTATAATTTATTATATATTATATGTAGTCAAGTGTATTTCAAGGTATACAACAATTAAAATAGATTAGTTAACTGACGTTTAAATACATTAGATACTGAATATCTGATTTCATCTCATTTCACCAGACGGGGTCATCATTTAATATAACCTGGATTTGAATTGTAAAATGACAAAACTTATCAACTTAACCATATGTTTTGTTGGTTCCGAATCGAATCGATCAAATACTTCACATCTAGACCTGTTTATCTTTTTACAATTCCTAGGAAGAAAATGCTGTATTTCTTGAGTATATCTTCAGAATTCTTTCTTATGAGAGGTTACATTTCCTGCTTCTCTGTCTATACTTTTCTAGAAGACTGAATACTGAAACTGGCGCGATGATAACTTTTTATAAGCATTCTTATAAACGTTCTTTATAAGCAGGCATAAAGGTTAAATTTCTTTATTGATTCAAACGACTTTGTTCAATCCTTTGAACTTCTAGTATTCTTTTTTGTTACGACTTAACTTTGGAATATATAAAAATCAGAACAACGAAACACACCAAAGTTGTGTTTTTTTAATGGAACATTCTTTATATTAAATCAATATTTTTTAAAAATGTGAAGAGTTTGTAAAAGGTTTTATAGGTCTAAAGGTAATTGCTATATTTCCAATAATCTTTACTCCAGGATATGACGGTTTTTTGCTCAAATTTTTTTTGGTATGCATGAATTTTCTTGAAATTTTGACAGTCGATGGAAAATAGCTTAAAGATCAAAATCTATCCTATGCCAATATGTGCTTTTCCTCTGGGGGTCGTTACCTACCTATTTATCAAACGAAGGGATTGAAAAAAATTTAGTTAGCCCTTCGCTTTAAATAGGTTTGTGCTGAAATGACTTTGAAATATAGATTTTGGACAACTTTTTTGGAATAATGGTGTTGCTTTTTATCACAGGTTTTGTAAAATCTTGACATAACCTAAAAAATACTTTCTGAACACAAGTTATTATTTTTTATTACAGGCTAAGTTTTTATTGGATGAAAATATGCAGATTTTGTTCAGCTGAAAGTCAGTCACACCAATACAATTCAAACCGCAATGGCAACATAAAAAATTTATGGAATATTTTGAAACAAATATCAGTTCTAAACAAAATTTAAAACCCACAGTATGGTGGAGGTATGTAGATGATGTATTCTCAATATGGCCTCATGGATCAGAGTTGTTGGACACATTCCTAAATGATATAAAGGATAAAGAAGGGCAATAACATTTACCATGGTAAAGGAATATAATAACACACTACCTTTATTGGATGTTTTAATCTCTAAGAATGATACTGTATATGAGACTCAGGTGTATAGAAAACCAACACACACCAACAGATATTTAAATTTTAAATAAAATCACAATATTAATATTAAAAAGGGAATCATTAAATCCTTATACGATAGAGCCAAAATTACTTGTTCTAACGAAAATTCGTTCTTGGAGGAGAAACATTTGTTAATCTGTTTTATTTAAAAATGATTATCCTTGATCGTTTATAAAAAATAAATTTTCAACAATCGATCAAATAGAACAGAACAACTTAGAACGAGATCCTACAGCATACACAAGGAATAATACGAGGAAAATAACAATACCGTACATAAAAGGATTATCAGAAAAAAGGATAGGAAATAAATTCAACATTTCAACAACATTCAAAACAACAAACACGTTGAGATCTATTTTGTCAAAAACCAAACCTAACAATGAACAAGAAAGGACAAAGATTTGCATTTATAAAATACCTTGTGAATGCGATCAGTTTTATTTGGGTGAAACATCAAGGCCATTAAATGTTAAAATAAGTGAACATCAGTCTTATATGAAAAATAGAGAATTTGATAGATCTCAAAAATGTAAACACGCATGGCATAATGAACATAGGGTTCAATGAAATGATTCAAATATAGTCCTAAAAGAAACGGATGGTAAAAAGAGAAAAATCAAAGAATCGGCTCTAATTATGCTAAATTAGACTAATTGTGTCGCAAATTCCTCGGCAGAATGTAGTAGAATCTGGTTACCCATATTGAAAGAGGAAGTTATTAAACGAAATGCACGACCAAATACTTACAATGTCGGTATAGTATTATAAGGTTTTTTTCTGGGTTTTCCCTCATAATTTACTATGGAATCACTAACAGGAGAATTTTACTGTCATCATGGCATGTGTTTGTCTTTTTAAAGACCAATTACATGCTATGATTTTTTCTGACGGATATTTTCAAGTTAAAGTTGATTTCATATAATCGAATGAACTATATTATAAGTAAATTCGTCCCAGGAGCGCAACTCAAAAATATTATCAATATCATTTTGGGTTGTATTTTAAGAACAATTTTCGAAGTGAAAATTGAAACGTCAATAAATGTATTTTAACCTTTAATTGTGGCTTATTCCCATTAAAATAGTAATTACTTTAAAATGCCTCAAGAAAATAGCTTCAGAACAATAATAATAAAACATAATTTATTTTCCTTAATTTATTACTTGAAACGTACCTTTATATTTGAAATATCGGAAAAGTTTCAGTTTTTCATCTTTTGTAAAGTTGTTTTGCAATTGATCCCAATTTTTAATATACACCCCATTTTACGGTAAATTAAAAATTGAATTCTCTGGAAGCCTTACAGATTAGCAGTAGGAGTCTGAGTTTTATCGGTAGGTTTCCCCAAAGCTTTGCATGCGTATACCATTTCAGTTAAAAAAATTGACAAAGATGATTAATTTTGAGCATTTGGCAAAATTATTGAAAGTTTGTTTTGCAGTTCCTTGTACAATTTCCTCTCGCTTAACCTTCGGCGGCTAGAAAATCCTCATCCTGTCTTTCTTCGCGTGTTTTAATCCAAATAACAGGTATCTATCTTAGTTTCTTGGTAGAGTAACCACATACTATTTGTTTAATAAGCCCATAAAATGCGGTAATACCCGACGAATGAATAATTTATGAACTTTCTTCGGTTAACAAAAGTAAAAATTAAGTAAAAGTACGCACACAATAGCAGTCTAATTAATTATAATTAAATAATTTTGCCAAATGAGTTTGTTGCATGTGTTTTATAATTTTTATTAGGTTTCCTCAATCGTTGACCTTTTGGGGGTGGGGCAAGGTCACCGTTATTCTGATTTCGGTTAATATTTAAATTAGTAAATTAACGGTGGGCCGTTGATGATGCGATTCCAAGGACTGTCTAATAAAATGTTCAAACTTATGTACATTACACTGACAAAGTATCGAATGATGTCATATACACACTGTATGAAAAATAGTTATTACGTTTGTCTGCATAAACTCAATGCTATTAAAATACCAAACTTAAGAGACCTCTTATAGGCATCGCATCTGAGTTCTTTAAACCATTATTTTAGTTTTTCTGAACCTAATCACTTATTTTAGTCAATTAATTACTTATTTTAGTTAATTAAGTATTTTCGTTTATCTTATTTATAACCAAAGAATAGATGGAGTGAGAAGGAGAGGCAGACCCAGAGCACGATTTAAGGATCATATGGAGGAAGACTTAAGAATGTTGGGAGTACGAAACTGAAAAGCCAATGCGAAGAATATTAGAGAATGCAGACTTATCCTTAAGCGGCCAGGACCCACCATGGATTGTAGAGCCAATGATGATAATGATTTTCTTTTATCTTTTTTATTATTTATTTTATTTATGTTTTATGCACTATTAAATCTTTAATGCTCAGTATAATAGTCTAACAAATGTTTGTTTTGCTGACAGATATCAAGATGCTGCAACAAATCCTACGCGACATGTATGTTGACCCAGAGATTCTAGCGGAGCTAGATGAAGATCAGAAGCAGACTCTGTTTTGCAAGATGCGCGAAGAGCAGGTGAGACGATGGAAGAGTTGGAATGACAGACTGGCTGATGATATGGTGAAAGAAACGAAAGGAAGCAAAAAGAAAGTTGATTTTTTACTAGGAGTTGATGGACAACCTTGGGTAAGTATGATCATGAATTAGTTGGTAGTCTAAAGGGTATATACAAAATTATGAATGTTAATAAATTGTTAACATCTCTTTTCGGATGGACGATTATGTTGATCATAAAATGGGTGTAGTGCGCGATACGTAGGTATTTCGAACAGAACCATGATTTTCAAAATAAATTCGCACAATTTTGAAGCATTGTTCAGGCGTCAGTCTATTTATGTTGAAATGCCAAACCAAAATAAACTACTTGACAGCTGTCAAAATAGCTCTCAGTTAAAGAAGTGTTGCCAACTTACTTTTCTATACCTCTAATAGCGGCTTCCCACGGTCGGCGATATTGCGGACGTAAGCGGACCAGCCCGCACCACGCACCGTGGGAAAGGTCTCGTCCGTGGTAGCACAGGCACGTCTGTGCTGGTGCGTCCTATCCATCTAGAGTCGGTAACATCAAAGGTATGGTACATGCTCGTGCGAAACGATCCTAGCGCGTCTGTGTTTTAACAGACGACAAGTGCAAGTCAGAAGTTTTTCAATCACTGACACGAGTTGTTGTTTGTAGTGTTGTCAAAGTTGTTTTGCAGTTTTTTTGCTAAAAAATGGAATGAACAAACGAAGTTATTTTTGATTTTTTAAATTTGTATTAAAATAAACCCAGTTTATCTAATTCCACGGCGCCAGAGCATAAGAACCGGAACGATGCATACGATATATGGAACCGAATAACAAATCAACTGAAGAATAGTACTATTTCGATTAAAGAATTAAAAAAGAAGAGAGATAATTTAATGTCGCCATACAGAAGGCAATGATGTTTACAAGCCTGAGTGGCCTTTTTATGATATAATCAAACATTACTGTCACGGACCTACACAGACTGTCACGAAACGTAGGAAGAGCTCTGTCTGCGGTGCGTTGTCGTCCGTGCTGATCGGCTATCCGCGATGATCTGTAGAAGCGCCGATCGTGGGAAGCTACTTTAAGAAACACCCTTAATTATATATCTGAATTGTCAAATTTAATAATCACTTATTTTGTGCTAAAAACACGCTACTGAAGACGAAATAATTTAAGTCATTCTCTAATTTGTCCAATTTTACTCTTTTTTTTTTCATTTTGCCATAGCTATAAAAAATAAAATATATATACAATAAAATACTTTAGTTTTTACAATAATTCCTAACACAAGTCATTGGTTTGAAACAAGAATATCCAATAGCAATAATGAAATTACAAACGTTCATGTTTCTTTGTGGTATTCATAATTTCCTTATTAATTTCCGGTAAAGTTTTTTATGTACTCTTTATGTTTGCTATTTGATGAATCAACAAATGTGTCAACTGTTTTATTATTGTATTTTAAGAACCGAGAAGGTTTATGATTACGAATTGTATTGTTTGTTCGAAAGTTAACAACAATTATTGTGGACTATATTTGCGTGAATATTAGATTTTTAATACCGTTTCTAATTTCGAACAGAAAATTGCTGCCAAAATGTGATTTTAATGAGAAAAAATTTGAAAACCAAGAATGTTGTAAAATATAGCTACATTAACATACAAACTTAGCATAAACGTCGAGAATTATTAACCTACCATCAGAAATTAATGAACAACATAATAATTTGAAAGTTATTTGGATTCAATTATGGTCTTTGCCATAAAAAAAGAATGAAGATCACTTAATTTTAGAACTATGCGCTAATAAAAATCTTTATCACAAGACTGACTGGCTTACTTCCCTATTTGTCTCTCTGCCCAAATCAAACAACGTAGAAATCAACCAGTAAACGTAATACGGAATAAAATTGATTATTAAAATTGATCAGAACACGATACTGGTACGTTTCGAGTGAGGGGAGTAGGCAGATTGAGACCTCGAACCGAACCGGATCCCTCTTGATAATGGCTCCAAAATGGGAGCCGAAACGTCGAACATTAAATTCTCAACGCGGTTCTTCCCGAGAACCTAGTGATTTTCATATATATGTATATATATATATATATATATATATATATATATATATATATATATATATATTAAAAGGCCAAATATATGGCCTAGGAGACAAATTCGTTAAACTTCCCGTGCTCGAATCGGTATCACTAAAGTGTTATGATCATTTCGGCCTATCCCAGCCATCGTCAGACACTTGGGCTGATACAAATTCAAACTCGGAAAGTAAAACGAATGTCTCCCAGAACTTCACTACAGCGTAGTTAGCTTACAAAGGCGCCACCTGCTTTGGTGACCGTGAACGAAACGATATGATAATATCGTTTTCTGTATCCTTTGTGCTATGCGAAATGTGAAAGATTAAATCTTTTAGCGAAAGCCGCTATCGCTTTATTATATTAAAAGGCCAAATGATCATAACACTTTAGTGATACCGATTCGAGCACGGGAAGTTTAACGAATTTGTCTCCTAGGCCATATATTTGGCCTTTTAATATAATAAAGCGATAGCGGCTTTCGCTAAAAGATTTAATCTTTCACATTTCGCATAGCACAAAGGATACAGAAAACGATATTATCATATCGTTTCGTTCACGGTCACCAAAGCAGGTGGCGCCTTTGTAAGCTAACTACGCTGTAGTGAAGTTCTGGGAGACATTCGTTTTACTTTCCGAGTTTGAATTTGTATCAGCCCAAGTGTCTGACGATGGCTGGGATAGGCCGAAATGATCATAACACTTTAGTGATACCGATTCGAGCACGGGAAGTTTAACGAATTTGTCTCCTAGGCCATATATTTGGCCTAGGAGACAAATTCATTGGGTAAAAAGTCGTGAACGAGTAAGACGTGAAGATGGTAGGTTACCCATTAAATAAGTTTCGAGTTTTGGAGCTACCTTGAAACATGTGATGCAGTTTCTAACAATCCTTCTATCGACATAGTGTCCATTGAGAGGCCAACATTTCTATCGCAAGGAAGATAAAAGTAGCTGTGGATCAGCATGTTGTAATTTCATGTGCTCATGCCGCACAAGTATGTCTGTAAAATGATGTTTTTGTGCAATAACGATGGGATGCTTTCTCTCGTATGAGATGTCAGCGTTGTGAAGTCTTCCACCAACTCGAATTATATCATCTTGATCAAGAAAAGTTTACTTTTATGATTGACCTTCCCATGTTTGTTTATAATAATGAAATAAAAATAAATGTTACAAATATATTATTGTTAACATATGTTGTTATATATCAGCCAGATATCTTCCCGATAAGCCGTGCCGGGACTGGTTATCTTACCTTCACGACAAGCTGTCGCCGGGATCAAATTTTGCAGAAGACGACAGGGGTGCCGTCAGGTCATTTAGGTTTTAACATTTGTAACTAAATAAATCCATTACTCGTAATTAAAAAAACATTATTGGTTTCCACTACATCCGTACAGTAATGCTTGAACGGTAACCCTTAACCTCTATTTGAAGATTTCCATTTGTAATAAGCTGTTTCCAGTTAGTAACAGATCGGGTTTAGATCTTCTATTTCGGCTGTCAATTATTGTCGGTTTTTAATAATACATATTATTAGAAGTCAGTTTCTGTTTTAATTTTAATACCGTAATTTATTTTAGGTGTGGGTTATGGGTGAACACGGAGACGACAAATCCATAGAAGATATTTTAAGAGAAGAAACGGCTGAAAAGGCGAGAATATTAGCGGAGAAAGAGACTGAAAAACTAAGAGAAGAGGTGAAAAAGGAAATGAAAGCTCAATTGATAGAAGACTATGTAGATTTAACTCATAAGATTGAAGAAAGTTTGCCTAAGCTAAGAATAGGTAAATTTCACTACAATTTTTATATTTATGTTTCTAGTGTATTAGTAAAATTAAAATTGGTTAAAATTTCTTTTTGTCTAACTACACCGTATCATCTTCTTTTATATGTTCCTTTCCTATTGAAAATCGGATACGATTAAGGCTATTCTAATGTTGTTTTACAGTGGCTCAAAACAGTTCCTTTGTGGTGCAGTCAAATCACTCTCATTTGTACATTTTCTGAAGCTTGTATTCCTTTCTCCTTCGATATTTACTTGCATTATATTTTGTAGAAGTGTGCATTTTGTGCAAAAAGGCACTTAAGAGACAACTATATGGACCTATAATTGTTATTATGTCAACTCACCTTATTCTCAGTATTTGACGATAGAGTCAGATCTCTAAACTCTTAATGGTTTTTATATTGTTTTGGTTGAGAGTTCATCGTACAGTAAGGTATTAAACACTGAGTATCTTAAGATTTCCGTTCGAAGTGGAAGACGCATATCACGGTCATTAAATAATTTCTTCACTTTGTCATATGTCATCTGTCAAGTTCGGACGTAAATTTGTAGATTTGTAAACAACGCCCTCTAACATCTGCCAAATACTTGACAAAGCGTAGTAAATTTTAGCTAGAAATATTAGACCAGGGCGGACTTATTTTACAATTCACGAATTGATACAAATTTTATTTAAAATTAATTCAGTCCGCCTTGTTATCTTGGCTTTGTAAAACATACCCCACGTAAATAGCTTTTTACCGAATATTGCGTAATTTCTTTAATTTTTAATTTCACCTTATTTATTTGTTCACTCGATAACTACCATGATTTGTTTATAGAAGATGACATGGATATATACTGCTCCGTAGAAGAGATACAGGCCAAAATACACTCGAAGCCACAAAAAAACATCAACAACTACACGATGAATGTCATGAACAAAAAATTTAATGAAACTCCCGAATTCATTAACACTCAAAAAGTTGCCCAGAAGGTGGCGTTATGGGAGCAAAAACTTCTGACTGACAAAACAACTGAAATCTTCCAAAAAATACAGAAGAAACACCAACAGGTTGCTAAAGAGGCAGAAGAAGAAGAAAGGAGGAAAGAACAGGTTTGGCAGGAACAAGGTAGGTCTCAAATACAATATATTATTATTAATATTTATTTTAATCTTTTTGTGGTATTTAGAGAGAAAAGCAAAACAAGCTGAGCAACAAATAAGGGAAATAGCAAGAAGGGCAAGAGAAGAGCACAAATTGAACACAACTTTTCTAATTGACACTAACTACAGTACCAATAACTCAGAAGTGCCTCCTGGAAGACAAGCCGTGATTGATTGGTACAAAAGTAAGAGAAGGAACGATTAGCAGGGTTAGATTCTTCTAATAACGTTATGCCATGGTTTCACGGTGAGTATATTTGTTGAAATTGTATTGAACCACTATTTTATTCTTCTTCTTCTTACGGTGCCTTATCCTTAAGGACGTTGGCCATTACATTTGCCCATTTAATCTTATTTGTAGCAGCCCTGAATAGTTCTATGGAGGTCATGTTCGTCCATTGCCGTAGGTTTTTAAGCCAAGAGTTGCGTCTTCTTTCTGATCCTCTTTTGCTATTGACTTTGCCTTCAATTATAAGTTGGAGCAGTTCATACTTTTGATTTCTTATGATGTGACCAAAATATTGCGTCTTCCGTTCTTTTATTAAAAGCATAAACTCTCTTTCCTTATTCATCCTTCGCAAGACTTCCGCATTTGTCGTATGGCTCATGTAGGATATTCTGAGCATTTTACGGTAACACCAGAGTTCGAATGCTTGGATTCTTTTTTGTGTTGCTTCTGTCATTGTCCAGGCTTCAATACCATAGAGCAAGGTGGAGAAAACATAGCACTTAAGTATTCTAGTTCTCAATGAGATGCCCAGCTGGCGGTTGCATAGAACTTTTTGCATTTTGTAAAACATTGTACGTGCCTTTTCCAGGCGTATTCTTATCTCTAGTGAGTGGTCCCAAGTTTCATCAAGATTACTTCCAAGGTACGTTGTTCTTATTACTCTTTCCAGATCTGTTCCGTCGACATTGACCTTCACCCTTCTGTTTTGGTGCTTGCTGATGACCATCGTTTTTGTCTTCATTGTGCCATCATTTTATTCTAATATCACTAATATCAAAATACTTATGGACAAGTTTAAGTTTAAGCCAAACAGAATTTTTAATATACACGAAACTGGTATTACAACAGTCCAAAAAAAAATGTTCATGGACCTAAATAAGCTAAAAGGGTAGGATTTGCTATATCTGCCGAACGTGGAAGCACTATCACATCGGTTTTCTGTATGAATGCTGCAGGAAATTACATTCCCTCCATGTTGATCGATCCTCGGAAAAGAATGTCTCTTACACTTAAGAAAAATGGACCTCTTGGTGCTTTATACAAATGTTTTAAAAACGAATAGATCAATACAGAACTTTTTAATGAGTGGCTGTGCCATTTTGTAACACATGCAAAGCCCGTAGCAACTAATCCCACCATTTTAGTGCTAAATAACACTCCAGCTTATTTCTATTGATGCGTATAATTTTTGCAAAGAAAAAACCATATGGAGTCACTTCCACCACACATCTCAGATCATCTTTAGCCTTTGAATTTGAGTTTCTTTGAATGGACACTGGTGAATTAATGTTTGATATTACAGAAGTGTTTAGCCTTCCACATCTAAGAAAAATTTATTTTTCATTTTTGCTCCAATAAAAGCGAAAACGGTTTAAATCAGAAATAAACAGTAATTCTTAATACACGTGTGCACACCAATACAAAATTTGAAGAAGCCCGGAAAAAAGATGATTAAGGGGCGAAATTCAAAATAAAAACGAAAAACAGAAAGTAGCAAGAAAGGCAAATGTTCGAAGATGTGATAAAAAATCGCTAGACAGTTAAAGGCAAACAAAAAAAAGAAGAGAGTGCCGAAAGAGCTAACACCTGAGTCGAGTGAGAATTAGATGATGTTGAATTAAGCTTGATTCCATCACTATTAGAAAAACTAGCTGCACCTAACGAGATATGTTGTATTTGTGAGGAAAGAGGAAAAAACAAAGAATTGGGGTATATATGTGTTATGTGCCTCGTGGAATCACGTAAAATGTACAGATGTAAATACCCCAGAAAATTATAAATGCAACTATTGTTTATGTTAAAAATATTACATTTAAGTATACCATACAATTAATATTTCTTCATAACATTAGTATACTTTTGACATAAGGGGTTTTATTACATTAATTTTAAATGAATTTTGTTTTTGTGCATTTAACAATAATTTAATGCACACTATTTCCCAATCCGTGCGCATGATTACCCTCATGGACGGGGAATCGTGCGCAAAGGCACTTTTTGTCTTTTTTAAATACATATTACAATTTTTAATTTTAGTATGCTTTTACACTTTGTATTTCTCTAAAACGTATTTCAAATATTTAAAGTATAATAGTTAGAGCTTAATATAACGCACTGGTTGTTATCGTGGATTTAAAGAATTTACAACAGAAGCGATTTCTGCTTAATTTCTTTTCCATTCCCCACTTTCCCTTACGATATATCAATTGTTATTATCATTCTTGTAACTTGGTTTGAATTGAACCTGTTTGTTTGTTTTAGGTCTCATTACGAGGCAAGAAGCTGAATCACTCCTATTGGACCAACGGTGTGGTACTTTCTTGGTACGACTAACCGAAAGGGTCTGGGGCTATGCCATATCCTACAGAGCACAAGAAAAATGCAAGCATTATTTAGCGAACGCAGTGCCAAAATACAGTTTTGTAGGAAATAATCAAAAAGAACACGAAACGTTAGGTAAGATAGTTTGTTTATGAATATTTTGTTCCTTATAAGTTTGATTATTACGGACATAGAGTTAAATATACTTAAATGAATACCCATCGTTCACCTTAATTACACCTGTTAATCTCTTCGTGTAACTTAGTACTAGTTTTTCATAAAATAAAAAATGAATCGTTGTACATTTAAATTTTTATTCCACAATAGAATGCATTAAATACATTTACAAAGTTTTTTAACACATTCACTTTAGCGTGACAAGAATTTCACCATATACATTTGTTTTATTATTTTTCTTTCTTCATCCTCTTCGCCTGCTTCTTCTCCTTCTGCTCTTTCCCTTTCCTCCCTTTTTACGTTTGCCCGCTTTGCTCATCATCTGACAAGCCTCTGTATAATAGCGTCGTTTTTCGTCTTTAGACATTTGGCACCAATGTTTTGCGCCTTCAACTGCAATTTTTGTAATATGCCATCCACAGTGTCTCTTCCTAAAAACATAATTATATACCAAATTCAATAAATGCTGTCTCGATACCTACTCGTATAGAATACGAATAATAAACTTGATAACCTGTATTGGTTATCCGAGAACAAGAAATGGTGCTAAAAAATTTAAAAGAAAATACATAATGAGCGAAAGAAGCAGCTAAATACGAAGAACCGATCCGAAAAGAGACAGTGGATGGAATCATGTGACATGCTAGTTGAGCACGTGTAACAGGAATATAAAATCGTTATGAAGCAGTTCAAGGCGATTCTTTGTATGAGATGACATTGGATAGAAAGCTTGAGGTTACACGAGAGGTAAACTTGACACGACATGCGCGAAAAATCAACTAAATATGAAGAATCAAGAAGAATCAAGAAGAATCAAGAAGAGATAGTGAATGGAACCCTGTGACAGGCTAGATAAGAATATGTGGGATCAGGGATCTGAAATCATCATAAATCAGTTCAAAGGGCACTCTCTGTATTAGATGACATTTGAAAGGAAGCTAAAGGTTAACCGAGAGGTAAACTTGACACGATATACAATGAGCATGTGATCTCGTGTCATTTGACACGAGGTTACCAGAGAGCTGTGTCCGCCCGGCGACTGACATGGAACGAAATAAGATGCTGAAACTGAGCGAGTTGTAGCTTTTACCACAGACGATATTAATGAAGCGGTGAGTACCCTTAAGGCACGAAGAGTCCCGGATTCGATGGGATACCTCTAGAAGTTTAGGATTCCTGGCAAATTGGAAGGTCTCAAGGCTTGTGCTACCCAAAAAGAGAAAGACAAGTGTCGACCTGTTTGCTGCATGAGTACAGTACGAGAGAATGCTAAGAGAACGAATCGACACAGTCGTTGAAAAGTCGGAGGATATCACCCAAGGCGTATGATTTCAGAAAGAACAGGAGCAAGGTGTATGTGGAGACGAAAATAATCTAGGAGTTGTGCCAGGTGATCAGAAGTGGGCGATCCCACGGTTGTTTAAACGTACGGAATGCTTACGATACCTTTAAAAGGGAAAGAAGTAAAGAGGGAAGCACGAGGGAGAATGTGCTGATAAATGTGATCTAGGATTATTAATCAAAGAGAAAAAAAAATGGTACAAAAAGTAGTGTTGGTCGACTTGACGTCTGAAGTGCCGTCCCAAGCTGTAGAACTTGGCATATGACGAATTTATGAGCCAATTCGGAAAATTGCGGAAGACCTGGTCATGCTGATCGTGACGCAACACAGGTAAGTCGAGGAATGGATGCATGACCTAGAGTGCCTAGACCGAATAGATAGAGTGGATACGGATAAGACTGAAGACATAGTCTTCAAGAGACCATGGAAAGTCGCCTCTTGAAAAAATATTCGAATGTACCGGAAAGAGTGTGGTTCCAAAGAAATACTTACACAAAGGTAGCACTGGTAAAACATTTCTGGAGTTCTAAGATATCGATAATAATAATTGTAATGATGACATAAACAATCAAAGAAATACGAGCGAAATCTTAATGAGGTTTGGTTAGGTTCATGATTCTCATGAATTATAAGTACATTTCTGGCGTAAAATAATGTCATATTCGGATAATTACTAGTTTCAGAAACTTCGGAATGTCATATGAGAGAATTTATGAGAAAATGTCTAACTACATGCCAAACTTTGTTTTTCCAACATCCCTTGTAGTAATAATTAAGGCAATAATCCCGACTCTCCAAATCATTTTGATTAAACTGGTACTGGTTCATGATTGAATATGATTTTGATAAATCTATCCGTACTTACCTAAATTCTCGTAAGAAATTGAAAAAACGGGTTAACTGTCATGGGTCCCGGATTGTGGCATTTTTGGCCTCTTCCTTCACTTTTACCTCTTTGCTTTGACGATCTCTTGCGTTGTGATTGTCTTCTTTTACTTCTTATATGTGATTTTGGACACGGACACCCACTTACACTTTTACTTCTCCTTTTACTGCTACTTCTTTTACTTTTACTAATTCTTCTACTACTTCTTCTGCTACTTCTCCCTCCTGATCTTCTAGATCTTCGTCTTCCTCCTCTACTGCTCCCTCTTTTCCTAGATTTAGATCTACCTCGTTGTTTCTTTGCTTCTTGTTTTCTTTTTGACGGACAGTATTCTGGTGGAGTTAAACGGTTGGGGCATCCTTTTCTCGACGATTTTTCAGACGCCATTTTACTAAATTACATAAAATCTTGACCATTAATTTCGTTATAACACAAATATTAACAAAAATGTAAATTTTACTACATTTAAAATGACTCAACTCAAATGTGACATATTATATTCAAAGATCAAATTTGACGGCCAAAATACATACTGGGATGAAAACACAACTTCAAAATCAATGGAGAATGTTATTTAAAAGCGAACAAAAAAAAATTAAACCTATGTTGTAGTTTTTATCAAATGGACAGAAAATTAGTTTTTCTACTACTTTTTCAATGTTAAACAACCACCAGAGAAATTAGTAATATTGATATCATAAAATGAAATGGATTTTAATGTCGATGATAAAGGAAAACTAAATATTAATCCAAACAATGTAATGCTAAAAATTGGGGAAAAACTTTTTTATGCCTTCATAATTTTTTTAGTAAATCCGATATAAAAATACGACATCCAAATTCTCTTAAAGATAACTATTGTCCCGGAATAAGTTAATAGATTAATACATATAATAAGCACGAACTAATTTATTCTAACAAAGTGAATAACACAACGAGTAGCGGGTAGGAACTCCTCAGGATAGTCCTATCCTGGAAAATGAATCAATCCCTGCCCTCTGCAGATTCCAGATGTTTCCTGACGCGGGAAACTAGTACCTGCTTAGGGTCTCTCATCCAGGGTCACGGATGAAGTCCATAACGGCAGCCACGGCGGGGAAGAATTCCTTCGGTACGGTGTGGATGGCGGAAGTGGCAATCTCTTGATTTTAGAGATTATATAGAATCACTATATATGATGAAGGGTAGCAGCGATCATCAGTACCAGCTCAAGGCGTAGAGGAAATAATCCTGGATCGGCTTGAAGCTGGACTATCACAAGCATGACTGGAGCAGTTTAAATTATTATGACAGTGCGATGGTAGACCAAGATATGAGAAATATGGAAATACGTGCTTGGCGGAGGAAGGCGATGGAGAGGGACGACTGGAAGAGAATTCTTGGGGAGGCTAGGATCCACACAGGGTTGTAAAGCCAAAATGATGATGATGACAGTGCGATGGGACAGGCAACGGGAAACCACCCCATTATTATTCCCTAGTTCAATCATAATTGCACTATCATATGATAAGAAAGGTATAGTGATCATGGTCCTCCGACACCAAGATCCGGCAAGAGAAGACAAGCACACAGGGCTTCCCAGACTGTTATCCAGCGAAATCCATGTTATAATGGAAAAGAAATCAGAATAAAATCAGGTATCAGAATAGGTCCATGAAATGTAAGTCTCTACGAGCCCGGTAAGATACAAAACACCATACGTGAGATGGTAAGGCTCAATATACCAGTTTTTGGGATAAGGGAAATGCAGATAGTATCTGGTCCAAGTTTATACGCCCACAGCCAGCAGTAGTGAAGATGACATAGAGAATTCTTATGATGATATATGATGAGAAATCAAATCGATTATATGACAATTACCGAAAGGAACCGAAATTCAATCAAAATAACTAAAACACTACCTAAAGCCGATGTCCCCTCAGATCATAACTTATTAATCAGTGACATTACACTCAAACTTAAAAAAGTAAAACACTAACAACCGACTAACCGAATAAACATGGACTGTATTCGAAATAATATTCATGAAATTATACACGAGAGAGAAAAGAAGTTCGAAAAATCGGAAGAAACACATAACGTCGAAGAACACTGGAATCGTGCCAATACCATTGTGCAAGAAACAACTAAAAAGTATAAAACTATTAATAAGCGCAAACAACAATGGATGACTGATGAAATATTGGGACTAATGGAAAGCAGACGAAAACTGAAAAATAAAAACACTGAAGAATACAACAAAATCCATAAAGAAGTCAAAAGGAAAATCCGGGATGCAAAAGAAAAATGGTGCAACAAATGTCTTGAAATAGAAGAACTGCAGAAAAAGAATGACACGTTTAATATGTACAAAAAGGTGAAAGAAATAACTAATACATATAGATCAACTGCAAGTAGTTTACTTGATAAACAAGGAAATATTTTAGTCAATGAACAAGGCAGATTATACAGTTGGAAAGAATATATTGTGGAGCCGTTTGATGACGATAGAACAGAAATTTAAATCGAAAATATATCGCCTTGTCCAAACCTAACACTCGATGAAATCGAAAGAACTATAAATCTATCAAAGAATAAGAAAGCAACCAATCCAGATGAAATATCAAGCAAAATAATCAAACTACTCGACAATAAGGGTAAACATTTTCTTCTAAGTTTCTTCAATAAAATAAACAAAACAAGACATATACCAACAGACTGGCTACTGTCAACATTTGTAATGATACTGAAAAAATTAAATGCCAAATAGTGTAGCGATCATCGCATTATCAGTCTAATGAGTCATGTACTGAAAATTTTCCTAAGAATACTGCACTTGAGAATTTACAACAAAATAGAAGTACAACTAACAACAATCTTGGAACTAGAGAAGCACTCTTCAATTTGCAGGTCATGGTTCAAAGATGTAAGGATATCGAACAATCGGTATATATGTGTTTTAACCACTTCGAAAAGGCCTTTGTCCGAGTAAACCATGACAAACTTATAGGTATCTTGCAACAGGTGGAAATTGATGACCGAAACCTCCAAATTATCAAAAATTTGTATTGGCATCAATGTGCAAACATACGAATTAGATACAACACGACTGAAACAGATATATATATATATATATATATATATATATATATATATATATATATATATATATATATAATATATATATATATATATATTAGCCAATGTAAAACACCACCTAGCGCTGACTGCGGCTCTGACCACCAACTTCTTGTTGCAACGCTAAAGCAAAAATTCAAGGCATGTGCTAGGATCCGAAACAAGAGGATATCAAAAATAAAAGATACACAACAATTTTAAAATCCAATGTAATATTTTACCAACTATCGTCACTCATGATTCCGAAAAGATTTGGTTATCTTTTAAAAATACCTTGATACAGACCTTGACTGACTGCGAGGCACAGTCTAATGCCGTCTCAACCGGACCAAAAAAAGTGTGGATGTCTGCAGATACTTTTGACCTCGTTGAAGAACGTAGAAAACTTTAAATTGCTGGAATCGAGAACCCTCTCAGGAATTCCCAGTACCGACAACTATCTAGAGCTATTCAGGCTGCTTGTAGACGAGACAAAAACAAGCATATAGAGAAAATCTGCAGAGAAATTCAACTACACGCCGACACAAATAACACCAAAGAACTCTTTGATAAAGTCAGACAACTCACACGTAAATTCAAGCAGAAATCTTGGTCTATCAAAGGTGATGAAGGTAATGTACAGACGGATTTGGACAAGGTTATTGATGTTTGGAGGGCGTATTGTAAGTCTTTATACGCCAATACGGACCAGATGCCAGCGGACGCCTCGTTTGTACCTGACTGCCAGACCTGCACTTTCCATTCTCCTTCAACAGAGACACACCACACTAGTTTTGAGTCTGAACCTGACATACTTTTTTCCGAGGTGGAATTCGCTTTAAAAAGACTTAAGTTAAACAAAGCAGCAGGATATGATCTCATTACTGCAGACGTCTTGAAGAATCTTCCGGAATGTGGAGTGAAAATATTACATCGATTGTGCAATGAAATATGGCACACAGGCGTATGGCCTGAGGATTGGAGAAAGACCATAATCATACCTCTTCATAAGAAAGGTTCAACAACTAATTGTAACAACTACAGGGTATTAGCTCTAATATCACACGCCAGTAAGGTGATCCTCTACATACTGCAACGGCGTCTAGAAAACTTCATAAGTTGGCAAATAGCACCTGAGCAGGCTGGATTTGTAAAGGGCAGAGGTACTAGAGAACAAATCCTTAATGTACGAAACATCATAGAAAAAGCCAGAGAATACCAGATCCCGATATTTATATGTTTCGTCGATTATACAAAGGCCTTTGATAATGTTAGATGGGACAAACTATGGAACATATTGACGACAATGGGTGTACCTAAACACTTGACTCACCTTATTAGCAAACTGTATCAAGATAACCTGGCATATATTCGAATGGACGGATATCTGTCTGACAAATGCACTTTGGAGAAGGGAGTACGCCAAGGATGTGTTTTATCTCCCTTATTATTTAACATATATTCGGAGTTCATAATGCGCAGAGTTTTGGATGGTTGGGAGGGAGGAGTAAACCTAGGTGGTGTTAAGATATCTAACTTGCGTTTCGTAGACGACACTACACTTCTAGCCTCTACTCCAGAAGAAATTACTAGATTATTAAAAAAACTCGAGGTAGAAAGTGCTAAATTTGGACTCATGGTTAACTACAACAAAACCAAAATCATGGTTATTGATCGCCAACAACAGTTTCCTGAAATCCAAACTATTGCGGGATGCGAGGTAGTCTCATCTATGATATATCTTGGAGCTCTAGTTAACAACACAGGCAGTTGTGAATCCGAAATTAGAAGACGCATTCAACGAGCAAGAGCAGCAATGAGTGAACTAAACGGGGTCTGGCGTGATCGTCACATTACTATGACAAACAAAAAGAGACTCGTTTCAACTCTGGTCTTTTCCATATTTTACTATGCATGCAAGACATGGACAGTCAAAGAATCAGATCGACGACGTATAGACGGCTTTGAAATGTGGACATGAAGACGCCTGCTTCGAATTCCATGGACGGCTCGCCGTACAAATATCTCGGTTCTGGATGAAATTAAACCGGATCAACGTCTCTCCAGTACCGTTTACTCTAGAATTTTAAAGTTCTTTAGCCATATCCATCGAAGTGATCACAAAATGGAGCGGTTGGTGGTCCAATGAAGGCCTCAGACTCAACGCCAACGCGGAAGATCTCCACAGCGATGGGCGGACATTACTAAAAAGCTTCTCAATAAACAGTATACTGAGGCAATACATATAACTGATGACCGCGACCAGTGGAGAAATATTATCAATCAAACTGTCCGAGCTGCTGAAGCCCAATTATGAACCACAACACATCTACTAAGATTGTTAATGACTATGATGATATATATATATATATATATATATATATATATATATATATATTATATATATATATATATATTAGTAAAAAGTGAAACATTTGAAATAAATTCACGAGTAAGGTTCTTCTAATTCATATATAAAAACTTTCAAAATTGCGTTTTAAATGCATTTAAATGTTTCTATCCTTACTTGTTGCTTAGAAAGCTGGAAATAATTCAGAAATTTCGGGTTTTTAAGAGTTTTAATAACTTTTTTGAAAATGAACTTCATGTTACATGGAATGTTGGAACTTGTTGTGCATAGACAGATCATTCACGTTCTGACTTTTAGTTCGACTAGTGGTCCAACTTCTGCAGTTGGATCTGAAATCGTACCGTGAGTGGGATAGTTGGATTAGTTGGTGAACGGTATAAGTCGGAACATCTACTGGGATGACTTAAAGGTCCGACTTCCGACTGGCGACGAAGTCGGAGCGTGAATGGTGAAGTTGGAAGTGGGATCACAGGTCGGATCGAAAATTTCCTGTCAGTTGACCTTCGGCACCTGTTACGTATGAGATTTCTATGAAATACTTTACGCAAATATCTCTAGTTCGCAAATATTTAATAGAAAATAAACTTTCAATTGCTCGAAAATTACCTTTTTGTTAGGGCAAATCATTTTCCTTTCTGTAGATCTATTTCGGACATTCCCATACAGGTACACTTTCCAACACTCCGGATTGGCTACGGAAGAATTATCAACAAACAATGAAAATTAAATTATAGTTGTACAGAAATTAGACATAACTGTTTCCTTATATTTTTCTGAAGTTATTTTCTTGTTTCGTCTTATGCAAATTTACTATTTTAATTGGAAATAAGCCTGAATATTAGAAATTAAATTTATTTAACGTGAACTGAAGTTGGACCGCCAGTTGGATAGCAAGTCGGAGCGTGAGTGGAGACGAATATCCAACTAGTAGTCCTACTTAAGTGGTACTGCAAGTCGGAACGAGAATGGCCTGCTTTAAAATATGATCAAAATTTCAAATCAATTGGTCAAATTATTATTTGATGATCAATAAGATATTTTGTTGGTTTATCAAAAAATTAATTTTTTGCAACAATATAAGTCAGAAAATAATGAAGTCACCGTCACTCTACGGGTATCTACTCTTACTTACTTACTTACTCCGTGGCGTTACAACCCTTCGTGGGTTTTAGCCGACTCGACAACATGCCTCCACTGTTTTCTGTCTTGAACAACCTCCATCCAATTCTCCACGCCGATAGTGCTTAGGTCTCCTGCTACATTATCTCGCCACTGGAGACGAGGGCGTCCGCGTGGTCTCCTTCCAGTTTTTTTTCCCACACCTCTTCCTCCCACACCAGTCTTACTGTTCGAGGGTATCTACTCTACTCTACTTTAAATATTATTAAAAAAAAAATGAAGAAAAATAATTTTAAATATTGCAAAATCATTTTACAAAAACATCGTCGATTATTTGCTTATAAACAATTAGAATACTTTTTAAACATTGCCTAGAGCAAAATTATTTTTTCATATTTGGAAAGCTTGAATTTTCTTACAAATTCACATCTCTTCACAGTGCATTCGGCACACAAATTGTTGCAATGAAGTCCAAGCTTTTACACCTACATCATCAGTTGGCGCTACAGCCCTTCGTGAGCTTTGGCCTGCTTCAAAACATTCTTCCATCCTTCCCTATCGAGTGTCTGTCTTCTCCAGCCCCTCACTCCAATCTCCCTCAGATCTTCCTGTACATCGTCCAGATATATGAGTTTAGGTCGCCCCTTCTTCTTCCGACCGGCCTGTTTAGCATAGTTATTTTAGTGGGATCACTCTCATTCATCCACATAACGTGGCCCACCCACCTTAGGCGGTTTATTTTGATGCTCTTCACAATATCTGCATCACCAAAAAGTCTATAGAGTTCAAAGTTATATCGCCTTCTCCACAGACCCTGTTCGTTTACTCCGCCATATATGGTCCTCCTACATAGTCCAGAGAAATAAGATATTCCCATGACTACAAAAACTGTAAAAAATATAAGAATTTTTCAGGTTCAATAAATATTAACCCGGCACTACATATGTGGGGTTTCACAAACCCCAGCTCCCAAATATCGCTCCTAAAATAAATCAAACACAGACTTATGCGCACGTCCACCCCAATAGCTTCCCAAAAATGTCCCTACCATCGAATTCAGACTTTACCTCAGTACATTGTAGACAGTGAGTGAAGTTACACGCGCCTGAAACGCTCTGGGGTGTGTCAAACCCCACCTATGTACTCGCGTTTGCAATTTTGACATAAGTAAGTTTTTATTTTTGACTTACTTGAATCTGCATATTCAATTGTTTAATTTTTTAGCTAAAATATCATGTCATACGAAGCGGAACAGAAAAAGCTTGAAGCTCTATGGGCTGAAATTGATGACGATGCCATCGAATCGGGAAGCGATGACAATATTTACCACATCTCTGAAAGCGACCACAACACCGACTCGGAGCAGGATATCGCAATAGAAGATGGAGTTTCTGACGGAGATTCAGACATGGAGACATAAAACACTTTTATCGTATGTGCCGAAAAAAAATCAAAACGTCCTCTTGAATCAAGATGGCCTCTTACGATCGTGTTTTCTTTCTTGAATACAGCCGCCATAAATGCTTTGGTGATATACAGAGAAAACAATCAAGATTTCAAACTTGCCAGAAGATTGTTTATCAAAATTTTGGGCTTTGAATTGATCCAGGACCACATATCTGAAAGAAAAAATAATCCAAGAATACCAAGGAGTATTCGTCAAAACATTGCACATTTTGGCCAAGATGCCCCTGCAGTGCCACCCGCCAAGATTCCAAAACTCATGGGAAGATGTTCAGTATGTCCAAGAAGCCGAGATCAGAAAACTAAATATTTCTGTTCAAACTGTGAATCATTACTGTGCCTGAAGCATGCTGTCATAAGTTGTCAAAATTGCATGAATTCAAATAGCGATTAATTTTTTTTCTGTCACTGAACAAACGGGCAGAGTTTTTCCTTATATTATCTTACTATTAGATTTTCATTTACTATTGTATTTTTGATCATATGATGTTTATATTTTTTGGTAAGATTGTTCAGTTAAGTTGTGGTTTTTGCTTATGGAGAATTGCCTATTATTAGTTTATTTTTAATTTCTTTTGAATAAAGGTGTTCTGATTATTTCTTTTTTGCTTAAATAGTCCTTAGATGATCACTCCAGACCATGAAATTGGAAAACATATAAAAAAACTGCCAGAAAAAATTCTGATTTTCTTAGAAATTGGGGTTTGTCACACCCCACATATGTACTAATGACAGAAAAATCCACGTATGTGACGCCGGGTTAATAACTATTGTAAAAGTAAACCAACAAATGTTTATGTTTCATAGAACCAATTGTATCGAGCACCAACACTAAAACAAAACAGTTTTTATTTAATTTTAATTGTATTTTTTACTTTTAGATCAGATGATTTCATTCCATAAGACTTATCCCTTAACTGGAGGAGAGACTCTGCAATACCCCTGTCCAAGATCATCGACGAACGCAATTGATGAACTGTTTAACGAATAAAAACCAACGTATACGTATTTTTAGAGAAGCCCTGTGATTTTTGTTGGTATTTAAGTAGACATTTTTTAGTTATTTTGTAGACATTACGATGTAATCAATTTGTAAACGTTTAGATCTCCACGAGTGGATTTAGGACGTAATGAAATTCATTTTTTGTATGAATTTTAAGGATGCAGTCAAATCTGTTATAAATTATAGTTAAGTTTTTCTTTTTATTTATTCGAACAGTAAATATGTATTTTTAATACCTAAAAAAGATACCTACCTTGCAACTGACTTCTATATTTTCTATTTGAACATTGAATATGGTTGTTTTATATAGTTTATACAAACAACAATTTACTGTTAAATAACCAACAGAACAAAGTGATGTTTCTTGTCTTTCATACTCTGCTGTTTCTTCTTTTTTCTTGTATCTTTTCTTTTATCCATTTATTTTCTTTCTTGTTCTTTTCCGTATATTTTATTCTTTCAACATTTTAGTAATTATTAAGAATGATTTTTACTCGTAGTCCTCCTTAATTCTTTCTTTCTCTTTATTTTTCTATATCTTTCTACTTCTTTCTTTGACTTATTTTATACTATTATGGGACATTGTGACTCTTGAATTCTTGACTGATAATTAACTTTAGAACCACTAATATCTTTCGAGGAAACAGATAAAATAGAGGAATGTAGTTTTCAGTCACTTAAAATGCACATACCATTCGGTTGGAACTTCTATCGTCGCTAACTATTCTTCCTACTTGCTTTTGACCCTTCTTTGAAAATATTGTGAAATTTATATAGTTCTAATTTATTTGTCTTTATTCTAATTTATTGTCTATAATCTAATTTATTAAAACTCACGATAGCTAATTACTAATTTATTAAATAACTTTACAAATGTATTTATTTCACGTTTCGTTACATTTAAATATCGCGTTTACCGATCTTCTTATGACTGACTCAAATACAAAAATCTTTCATTTATATACACAACTGTTGTCATCTGGAACTTTCGGCAAACTTCCTGAATAATCTCGTATTTTGGTGAAGGCGCTCGACTCGTTTTTCAACCTCGAGACGTGGATGACTCACTAAAATTAGTGTCTAGAGATTTCTGTAAACAACTGGTAGCGAAGCTCAGGTATATTTTGACCTACAAATTACGAGAATCAATAAAAAAGAATTAGTCATAAAATATTTACAGTTCTATATGCCATAACATTTAAAATCGTAACATATGTAGTAGGTTTCGGTATAGTGCTTATACCTGTTTCATCATAATTGTAAATATTTTGTGCACAAAAATTATAACGATCTGAAACTGTTTTTAAAAGATCAAAAAAATTGTGATTTGTTCATTATTGGAACCTAAGGCTCTATTAAGATGTGTGCCTTTCTACAATGCCTTTCATAGGCTATGCGTCTAACATTTAATAGAGTAGGACCATAAAAACTGAACTGCATCTCTAATAATTGTGTTACTAGTAACTGTTCATTGGGACCAAAAAAAAAACAGTATTGTATTTGACAAGCAAGACCCAAGGATGTTTCCTTCGATTTGCTTCATTCGTGTAAGTAAACAAGTTTTCGGTATTTTAAATCTCCTACCAGCTTCTCTGGTGCTTTCCGTTGCGTATTGCCTAATAGTTGCTTCTGCATCCTCTTGCATCCAATCACTTACTTACTAGCCAACGCCAACCCTTGGCATGTTAGCCATTTGGTGGCGCACTGACCAGTATAGACGAGCCGTTTCGCTTAGGCGATCTTCATCCTCCTCGGGTGGGTCTGTTTTCAGGGCTGGGCACTCTGGAAGGTGAGCAGCATCCATCTGGGGCTGATCACATAGTGGACAGTTTTCATTTTCGCGGACGCCGATGCGATGTAGATGGGAGGCCAGGTAGTCATGCCCCGTAGTTGTTCTGAACACGGCTACACTAATGGGTCTCGGCAAGTTGCGAGGGATTGGTGACTCTATTAGGTGGGCCCAAGATTTTCCAGCACCGGCTTGTATTTGCTGTCTTTTTATCTTCGCTTTGATTCCTCTTCTAATGGTGGACTTTGTTGATGTGTACGATTGGAAGCTAGGGGGGTGTGGAAATGTAGTGCCTTCTTTTGCAAGTTCATCCGCCACTTCATTTCCTTCAACACCGACATGACTAGGGATCCATTGTAGAGTAATCAGCCACCCTTTTTCCATCAAGTTCGATAGTTGGACACCGCAAGATATTGTTTTGTCATAGTCGGTGTATCGATTTGTCGACAGGGCGAGAATTGCGGCTTGGCAGTCGATGAAAAAGGCAACTTTTTGGGGGTGTTGGAAATTCTCAAGATTTTTTGCAGCTTTGTGTATAGCAGCAATTTCGCCGTCGTAGTTGGTGAGAGGGGCACCCACAGCTATAGAGTCTTTGAAGAACGTTGAGACATATCCAGCTCCTGTTCTTCCCGAGTCCGGCATCAAGGATCCATCGCAGTAGATGTGGAGCCACTCATGTGCTGGGTACTTGGTGTGTATCGTCTTTAGAGCGGCTTTCCTTAGGGCAATGTCTGACGATGTGTCTGACGAAGTGCTTCGGGTCGTTATGGTTTTCAAGCAGTAATTCTGTGTTTGGTAGACAGCGGGCCAGTGTGGTTTGCGCTGGGAAGGGGCGGCTTCCGACAGGACAATGTGGTATTTTTCCATGATTTGGTTTGCTACTGTAAGCGGAGTGGTTTGTGTTTTAAGACGTGAGGCTGCTTGTTTATATTCGGCCCATTTTTGTGGAAGTATTCGTCTTTGCCTTTCCCAGAAGGTTAACGCGTGTTGCTCTCTGCAGCATTGTATTTATTCAATACTAGTCTGAGCTTCCATTGATGTAATCGGTGTTGATTTTGGAGCACCGGTCATGACGCGAAGGGCAGTGTTCTGGGCGACTTCAAGCTTGGAGGTGGTGTTTGTACTCGCAGTTATTGTAGCTTCACTCCCATATTCTAATATCAACCGGACATAGGTTTTGTATGTTGCTACCAGGACAACTTGCGTGGCGCCCCACTTTGTTGCTGTGAGACGTTTCAGCAGTCGACATCTCTTCCTCTGCATCCAATCAGATACATCACGTTTTCTCTTTTAATTTCCCATCGAAGCAACCAACTATAAAATCATTAAATCTGACAACACAATAATGAAGACTACTACGTGCTCCTGTCTGCCCCTATGTCAATGGTCCCCATTATCCCAACAACGTGCCAATATGCACAACAACAAACAATAAGCATCTGTCATCGACAATTCGGTTCTTGCCAACCTACTAATGTTAAACTGCGCACAAAATTCAAAATATTTGTTTACGTAATCATGGTGGTTCTATTTACCCTGGTGATCCTAGAGTTGATCGCCGATTCTGAAGTGTATAGATCTGTAGTTTTAAATAATGTATTAATGATCTTGTACCGTTATCAAAAATAGTAGATGTTGTCTGGCACACATGGGGAAATCTTTCGTACTTACATTCTGAAAGTTACCTAAAGGTTCTTGACTTCTTGAAGTTTCTAAATTACTAAGTGACTACATAGCTTAGAATATAGTGACATTACCTTTTATCTTAAACATAAAACCACCGGAAGGAGTGTCTCGTCTATAAATCAGAATGGATGTACAGCTAACTCAGATATTCCCTTAACAAATTTTGATTCCATGTATTTTTTTGTTTTTTGTTTTTATCCGGGATAGGTCCCGTTAAGTTACGTTACGCCATAGGCCCGTCTAGAGACACGCTACTACACAGAGCTACTACTAAGCAAAGATAGTCTGCATAGCTGTATGAAGAGTTTGAGACACCCGAGGGAATTGCTAAAACAGGGGATAAGGCATCAAAGGACTTGACCTCGTGAGGCAAATTAAGAGTGCAGATAGAAGAGTGTTAAGAACCGATGTTGAAATAAAGCAAATCCGGTATGAGTACTTTAGAAAGTTGCTAAATGAAGAACACCAGAGAAAGTCGAACGCAGGTTCTCAAATGTGAATATAATACCAGGGATAGCGAGACATGAAGTTTTTGAGGGGTTAAATAGGATGAAAAATGGTAAGGCAGTTCTTCTTCTTCACGTGCCATCTCCTCTAAGAAGGTTGGCAACCATAAAATACTTGTGGAGGTTAAAAAGGCTTTTGGAGAGGAAGGGGTTGATATTTTGTAGTAAATGATGAGTAGGATATATGAAGAAGAAAGGATGCCCTATGCATGGAGAGAGGGTGTGTTAGAGTGTGTGTGTGGAGGAAGTTAGCCCGTCTTTTCATCACTTTGTAAAAAAATTACAATCAACATAAACATGCTATTTTCAGGTTTAATTAAATATAATATTTTTCTTTATATTACAAATTGTCTGATTACAAAATGTAAACCATACAGCTAATTCTAACCACGTTTGGCAGACAAATAAAATAAGTATAAAATCAATAATGGCCTTATAAAATTGAACTATGTGGGCTAGTTTTCAAAGGTTAAGTCAAAACTAAACAATATTATATTAAGCACAGTGTGTTAGATCTGTAATATAAGTAACATAAGATTTTGCAGTAATTTAGATTTTACAAATTTATTATTTATTCAGATGCATCACTCTCAGAAATTAGAATGCAATCACTATGCACCAATGTCGTTTATTCCAGTGTATTCTTTGCATATTGGTTTATGCAAGAACTACAAGAGTGTTGTATGTATCCATTTTCTTGGTAGAACAATATGAGCACTTTATTTTGTTCTTTGAAGTTGTCGGTTGTGAAACGATTGATCCTAATCTGTAGAATATCCCGAATTTTTTGCTTTAGGCTAATGAAAAAAGTTGAAAAATTGAAGACCGTTTTCTAAATGTGGTTTTATTAACTTTATATTCTGACTTCACTATAACTCTGACTCATCCTATCTACAACATCCATGCCTCCTTTAGTTAAATTATAAAATGATATCATCTCTGGTTTATTCTCACTAGACTATATCAATTGAATCGTCATTCATTGATACCTAACATTAGGACGTTTTTTTTTTGGGTTTACGAGACTATAGAGCTGTGATTTTCATTCTGGACATATGCAAACATGCTGCTATGAACTGGTCGGCCTTTTACAGTGAGAAAGTCTTAAGGTAAACCCCTTTTAATTTTTCTTATTGTGCCTACAACAGTAAGTCTGTGGTTCACAAAATATCATTTGCCAAAGGAATGTAAAATAAATGTCCATTGTAATATTTCGACCAGTATTATTAATGGGTTTTATTAATCTTTTTACAACGCTCGATGCATCATTTTGCAGTACTTAGGGGTCTTCTGGTTGTTTCCCAGCGTAGATTTCCATACTGTGGACATAAAATGTTCGTGCATCAACTAGCGCGTAGATTTTAATGCCATACTTCTGAGGTTTAGTTGCTATATATTGTCGAAACGGCACTTACTACGAAAACCTTCCAGCATATCATCGATTGTTATGTATGACCCTGGAGTATAATATTGAGAACATTTATTTTCAAATAGATCTCTAATAGGAGCTAAATTATCAACAGCTCCCATTTCTGGTCTTGTTTGACGATCATCAAAACGAATACCTCGCACAAGGAGATGGAAGCGCTTCTGTGTCAGAGTGGCAGCAATATATGCAGGTGCTGTTCCATCGTTCGCCCACAATTCATGAGTGCTCAAATGCTGTCTCCTTTTTTTATTCCAGCCAAATATAGAAGCGCAATAAACGCACATATTTCATGGAAATCTGTTGCCGGACAATCTTTTTCCAGTTTATACGATTTCCGCATAACCGCAAGTTGTTTATTTGTATGTTGTACGATATTTTCTAGAGTACTATCAGGAAAAAGTTTCCAACAGTCCAGGACAGTACAACACTTTAAGGCTACTGCTTTTACACCTAAAAATTGAATAACAATATTTTGTTCTTTTTGATACAAGTTTTGTAATTTTATGTTTTAACCAAACTGTTTTATCTTTACCAATAAATTGAGCAAACTTTCAGGGAACTGTAGTTATTCCATTATGTGTCAAATTCCTGCATATTAACAGCTTTGTGTAAGATGCTCTTTATTATTACAAATATTGAAGTATATAAACACAATTATTGTTAGGTGAAATTTAAAACAGGTTTTTTCATCATGGACTTGATTTTCGAAAATATGTTCATTCAATTGTTCAATATGTAGTAAATAGAAAAATACGATGTGGTGGATAATTAAAAAATAAACTTAACTATAATAACATAAAGATGTTAATATATAAAGTTTGAAATATTTTTGTATTTCTGTTATATATAGGAAATTATAGAATATTATAAATCTATCAAAAATAACTACAAACTTAGTGGTCTACAGAATTTTATTCGATTGGTGATTTCAAAGTTGTTTCAATTTCTAGGAAAAAAAGTGGAATTTTATAAAATGTTTTAATTTTTATACTAAAATTGTGTAAAACAACTTCATTTGCTTCTTGACTTCTAATGTATATTGAGTTATTAAGCCTCATTACTCTCTGTAATTAAAAAATTAGTATAAAAAGTTCTTCAATAAAAAAACCTGTTTTTGTGTTAAAAGCTTCACACATAAACTGTAAGTTGTTGCAATTGTGGTTGGTAGGCCTGTCAACTATGTTTTTTTTGTCGTATAGAAATAAGGTTTATTTTTTTCTGCATTTGTTACAAATATTCCACAGTTTTTAGGTATAATAACTACGTCGTTTGCGTATTTTTCAAAAATATTGTATGTTTTTGTGTAAATTGTTAAGGATACATTGTTGAAATCTCCCTTTACCATAGAAATTGAAATTAACTCTTGCACCTCAACATTCTACATAAGAAAGTAGTAACTGTCGACTGATTTTTATAATTCGTGTAGGATTTTAAACAATAAGACGCTCGACTATAGATATTGTATAAAAACTATTACAAACTAAAAATGAAGTATTTATTATACGCTTTTCAACATATTGTATGATGTTTGTGCTTTAATAAATAAAAATAGTAATAGTTAAATATTTACTATATTATTGCAATATTCTTATACATTCCTTATTCTTGTTCTACCTATTCCTTATGCCTTAACCCTCATATCAATTGTAGTCTACGAATTTTTAAATAATGAAGGCAAAATAATTTTGTAAAAGAAGATATTGAATAAGCTCTAGTAGTTTCTCCAAAGTTGTATATAATAGTATTGTTATTATTACAGTATTACTTACAGTATGCTAAAATCTACGTTTACTTTCCATAGACTTGTGCCAATAAAAATCAAGCTCGTACAGCAGATTCAAACATAATTCGAGACACCGAAGCATCAGTAGACCCCACAGCACACATTGCATGGAAACTTCCATCTTAACAAGTGGTGAGAGAGTATTTAGCGCCGCACGTAGTGGTGTCCAAAAAGTAAAATATTTGGCGGCAAATTCAAAAGGTATGCTCTGAAAAATGGACTGTTTTGTTCATATGTAGGGGACAGTAGGTTTCATTTTACTATGGGGTATATATAACCATTCCCCTTTATGCAAGTTTCATTTAAATGTCACGGCTGATTAATGAGTGAGTATTGTATTGAATATTATATTGTATTAATAGCAGTAACGGTGATAAGAGAGGTGACAGGCTATATTAATCTTGCTCAGATGCAGAAATTACAGTCACTAATATGTCCAATAGATGTAACCAGATTAATCACAACCATAAAAGACAAAAAGTCATTAAGAGATGAACATTAAATTAGCTGAATTACAGAGTACGAATGAAAACTGAAAAAAAATCGGAATATCATCAAAGATATTATCATCAGCACCTGTACTCATAGGGGAGAAAAAAGACAAGCCAAAAAAGTAGATGACAAAGGATATATATGCTTTCAAAAAATAATAAGATATCAAAGCTGCTACAGAACAATGAACGAATAGACAATGTGAAGAACTTGAAGATTTGGATCAAAAAGAGAGAGATAAAAGCAACTGGTATACACTAAATTCCAGACCGTGCCATATGCACCTGTTAAGTCAATTAATGCCACAGAGGTCGTTAGCTTTCTTTGGTAACCTGCCTCGAATGTGAGTAATTTATAGATACCATTGGCAATGGTACTTTTTGTGGCCTGAATTCAACTTATTAATTGGTATTTCTTGAAATAGCTTTTAAAATAATTCCGTTAGGGATCAGTATTTTAAAGAGCTTGTAAGCTGAGCTAAGTAAGGTGTTGCGTGGTAACTCTCTAGCTTGTCTGCTGGTTTTCCTGGTGTAAGGATAGCTATAATTTTGGTTTGATTAAAGAAGTTTGGTAAGTTATCTCATTTAAGTATATTGCTTCGGTTGAAAAGCATCTCGATGCCATTATGTGTGTAATATAACACCATTAAAATGTCAGCCGCGGATTCGCTGGGTGGCACGAATGTCTTGTATTGCTATGATTTGTATTCGCAAAATTCTGCATTTTTAGAAAACCCCAGAACAAAAATCTGACGGGGTCAAATTGCACGATCTCGCTGATCAGTTCGCATCACCTCCACGTAATATGATCATGTCCCGAAATCGCTCTTGCAGAATTTACAATGTGGTATGAGCTGTGATATACGTAGCGCTATTCTGATGAAACCACATGTCATTTTTGTACATTTCTTCAAATTCAGGTCAAAAGAAGATGGTAATCATCGATCCATAGCGCTCGTCCGTGACGGTCATGCCATGGCCAACATCGTTTTCAAATAACTGACAGTACTGCCTTTTTCGGGATAGACTGGAAGCTCTTGGATCTCATCTGAATTGATATCGTCCCAAGTTAGGGTTATATAGGTATATAAACTCTCTTACTCATTCGAAAGCATATGCTCGGATCGTTAGATCTTCGGGTTGTGCTGTTTGTATATAATTTGATACTTTCATATATTTCGTCTTACTACAGTAAATTCAACTTCAAGTTACGGACAGAATCAACACAAGTCACCGCGTGATATTCGAGTCTACACGTGACGAACGCCTTGCTTTAGCCAGTTAGCCCTAACAGGTGCGGACCTTTTGTTTATTTGTTAATCGTTAGCTCGTGTGTGGATAGTGCAAATCATTTTTAAGAACATTTAATTATAGTCGATACAAACTTTTTCCCCACTTTAAAATAATTCCTGTAAGTATAATAAAGCATTTATAATAGCCATAAGATACGATATAATATCGACCTGCACTGATATGTTTAATGGATAAAAATTATTTAGTATGTTAAAAATTATGAAAAACAAGAGGTAACCGATATAATTTTGTCCTTACTATAATTAATTAATAATTCAAACTCTTTGCAGCACTCTTTGGGATTTTATAAATTTTCTACAATGGACCCTTGGGGCATAGAAAGATTCAACTGCACACGTAAAAAGTAAAATGACCTCACTTTTCAAGAAACAACTGATAACCATTTGCGTTTGGCCGATAACTATACCGTGGGAAATTTACCATTTAAAGATAACACTTAATAGGGACAGAGGGAATAAGTAATACAAAACACTTGCGTAGGTGTAACTTGATAAAAATAGATTAATAAGTGATTCAGAATTAAAATAGATTAATAAGTGATAAGTTAAGAAAATATAGAGCTGGAAATAGAACCATTTATTACTTAGACGAAACATGGATAAATGCTGGCCATACAAAACCAAAAGTTTGGGTGGATGCTTCTTTGACTTCTGCAAGACGTGCATTTTTGAATGGGCTGTCGACCGGCTTAAGAAATCCCTCAGGTAATTCAAATAAACTTTTAATAAACTTAAATTTTTTATTTATTATCTTTAATATCACTTTTAGGAAAAGGTAAACGATTTATAATCTGTCACATCGTAAGTGAGAATGATTTGTTCCGGATGCACTGTGGGCTTTTGAGTCAAGCAAGAGTGGAGATGGATGGGAAGTCATTTGAAAATTGGCTCCAAAAGATTTTACCAACACTGGAAAAAAAATGCTATAATTGTAATGGACAGTGCCCCTTACCATTCCAGAAAATTGGAAAAAATTTCCATTATGGCTACAAAAAAGGCAGATATTCAAAATTGGCTTCGCTCAAAAGATATTCCCTTAGAAGAAACGATGTTAAAGGTGCAACTTTTAGGAATTGTTAAACAACATAAAGGCGAATATAATAAGTACATAGTAGATGAACTGGTAAGAAGCACAAATAGAATAGTTTTAAGGTTGCCACCGTATCACGGCGAGCTCAATCAAGAAGTCAAGAATTATGTAGCATGGCGTAACACAACATTTAAATTTGCTGACAATAAAAATTTATTCAATGCAGCTATGTCTGCTGTAACCATGGAAAATCGAAAAACTGCGTCAAACATGTAAAAGAAGAAGTGGAGCCAAAAATGTGAGAGTTGGACAATTTAATTGAGGCACAAATTAAGCCTATCATTATCAACTTTAATGATGACAGCAGTACATCAGATTCTGAAAGTACGGTAATTTCATAAACTTTTTTTTTGTATACTTTATTTTGTTGTTAATAACTCTAGACTTTCTAAATCATTTTTATATTTAAAAAATTTGTGTACCATAACCTGTACCTGTCAGACGTCTACAAATTATGTAAGGTTTTGTATTGAAGCTTTAATTTACTAGTCCGGCCCTGAACAAACGCGTGCATTTGTTTCCATAGATCCAATAATAGTTCCTCTGGTTGTTATTCCAGATTCTCTTATCGCTTTCTCAAGTGCAATATTGAATAGAATGTATGAAGGTATGTCCTTGTCTAAGTCTTACCTGAGACTGGAATGTTCTGGAAACTCCTTTCTGCACTCTAACTTTACACTTGACTCTTGAAAGGGTCGCTTTAACCAATTTTACTAAGTTACTGCAATGCTGAATTCTATCATGGCCTTGTACAGTGCGTTTCTTTCAACACTATCATAGGCACATCTAAAATCAACAAACAGATGATGAGTATCATTGCCATACTCATATGCTTTTTCCAGAGCTTGCCTTAGAAGGAATATTTGATCGGTCGTTGATCTTTCTTTACGAAACGCACACTGATATTTACCTATTATGTCTTCACATTATACCGATAGTCGGTCATAAGGAATATATGCCAATATTTTGTATATAACGTTTAGAAGGATTGTTCCTCTGTAGTTGTCACATATTGTTTAATCTCCTTTCTTGTGGATAGGTACAATTATACCTACATTCCAGTCTTCTGGCAACTTTATTTGCTTCCAGATCAGTTCTACCAGTCTACATATACAGTATGTCAGGTTTTTTACCATTCTTTAAAAGTTCTGAAGGAATGCCAAGGAGCTTAGTTTTATTTCAATTTCTGTATAGCTTGGATGCCTTCTACCTCTATTAGGGTTGTTATCTTTCTCTCTTTCATCGTCAATGTTCTCGAGTTGGATTTTTGATTCGTGGAGCCCTGTCTCACCTCTTATATTTAGCCTTTCCTCGAAGTTTTCTGCCCATCTTTCTAGTATCTGGTCCTGATCACCAATGATCTACCCTGTTCTATTTCTAACGATTGATATTCTAGGTTTGAATTCTTTCCTGTTCTGGTTAATCCTCTTGTAAAACTTTCGCGTTTCTGCTTGTGCCTTATAGTTCTCCAGTTTCTTTTAGTTGGCTCTTTCTTCTTTTTTTAAGTATTCGTTTTTCTTCTCGTCTCAGCTGCCTATACTTTTTCTCTGTTTGTCTCGTTCTTCGCCCTTGAAGTCTTCTATATGCCTCATCGTACCAGTCTGACCTTAATTTTTTATGATTTTGCTTTCCGTTGCCACTTCTCCCAATATGGCTCTACACTGCTTCCAATAGTTTTTAATATTTTCAACTATAACATCCTTCTACTTTAAACCGTTCCTCTTTAACTCCTTTTTCTTTCTTTGCATTGGAGATTCTATCTCTTAGTTTAGCTTGTAGTAGGTAATGGTCCGAGTCTATGTTCGCCCCGCGTCTTGCACGTACGTCTATCACATCGCTGAAGTGTCTTGCGTCAACCACAACATGGTCGATTTGATTTACTGTATTCCCATCTGGACTTCTCCATGTTCCCTTATGTATATCTTTGTGCCTGAAGCTTGTGCTGGCAATCACCATGTTCATTGAGGAGGCTAAGTGCATTAGTCGAGTTCCGTTATTGTTTGACTCTTCATGTAAACTGTGAATTCCAATGGTTGGCATGTATTCCCTCTCCATGATTTGAAACATTTGAAACAAAATATTCTAATCTGTTCATTGCGAACGTTTATTATGGATAAATAAAACAATAAAGCTACTAAAATAGATAGTTTATTCATCACTAATAGTATAAAATCAGTATGATAATTAAAACAATATAATAAACAAGACCATAAGCAACATACAGCTGTCAGTAAATGGGATTACCGTTATCCTTGAATATGCAGGGCAGACAGATATCAAAGTATTTTCTTTTCCTCTTTACTCTTGCCTTCTCACCCTGAAAAAATGCTCACTATTTTATTTCTAGAACTTTTAATTTGCTAATATACATCTAAGATTTAATGTTCTAGAGATTGTTATTGAGTTGAAGGTTTAAATCTTTGAAGAAGATGATTTGAGCGATGATGAAGAGTGAATCCTCTGAAAAAACAAATGACCAATGGTTAATCGAAGAAATATTTTAGAAACGAACAAAAATAAAAATAAATAAAAAACAAAGATAGACAAAAGCATGAATAACAGAAAACATAGTTACCTATACAATAATTTTCTTACCGCTGTTATATCATTCGAGAGTGGTAGCGACTTCTCTGGAGATGTTCTTTTTTTACTCCTTAAAAGGCTGTTTGTAGCTAAAATAAAAATTGTTTGTTAGTTCGAAACTGTTGTATCAATGATAATAATATATATATATATATATATATATATATATTATATATATATATATATATATATATATATATATATATATACCTATATATACATATATGGTTTTTCATCATTCGCATCAAGCGCGAATAATGGTGGAGCCTGAATGGTTATTGAGTTTGTCTTAGTGACAATTGTTCTTTCAACAAATTGAAGAACGGAAAAGCTCCAGGCTCTAACACTTATATGGAACGAAGAGAAAATACCAACAAAATAGCACGAAAGTGTAATAATCCCCATCTATAAAAAGGGAGACAAAACCAAGTGCTCTAATTATAGAGGCATCTCCGTACTTAATACGGCATATAAAATCTTATCGAACATCCCATTAAGTAGGTTGACACCGTTTGTAGAAAATTTCATGGGGGAATAACAAGCCGGTTTCAGAAAACATAGATCGACCATAGATCAAATCTTTATTCTATGACAGCTGCTTGAACAAAGATGGGAATTCAATAGAACTATCCATAATCTCTTCATAAATTTCCGACAAGAGTACGATAGCATTAAAAGGGATCAGATGTGGAATGCAATGGCAGAACTTTCAGTTCCAAAAAACTTATCCAGCTGAGTACGGATAGGTAACACACTCTCAGAATCGTTCGAAATAAGGAGAGTGGCCTGAAACAAGAATATGCTCTGTCACCTCTCATTTTTAATATTATCCTGGAAAAAGTAGTAAGAGCAGCACAGAAACAGAATTACTGACAGTAAATGGACCAAAATTACTACTAGCATACGCAGATGACATTGACATTGTGGGAAACACAGTCACCAATGTGAAGGAGAAGTTTAATAAATTGGAGGTAGAGGCAAAGAAAACTGGTATAAGGGTAAACGAAGAGAAAACCAAATACATGTGCATTCACAGACAAAAGGGACAAGATAGAATATGGCAAAATGTTACAATAGACGCATATAACTTTGAAAGAGTAGGGAGTTTTAAATATCTCGGAGGAACAATCACTGCAGATAACGATATCGCTGAAGGATTAAAGGAAGAATTCAGGCAGCAAACAGATGTATGTACAGCCTCCACAATACTATTAAATCTATAAGCCTAACACGAACATCAAAGATTAGAATATATAAAACGGTGGTTAGAACGGTGCTCATGTATGGGTGTGAGACGTGGACCCTGACCAAAGAAACTGAAGGAAAACTTAGATGTTTTGGAAAGATGCTGTAATAAACTTTACTCCATTCTCAGAGCGCGTGATGTTAATACAATTAAAAGATAAGAAGAACATGATAAACATCATACAAGTGTACGCTGCTACAGCAGACAAAGACGAAGAAGAAATAGAACAATTCTATAATATCTTAGAAGAGGTGATGAGAACAACAAAGAGACAACACATTAACATAGTAATGGGCGATCTGAACGCCAAGGTGGGTCAGGGTAAAGTTGGAGAAAATGTCGGTGAATATGGCTTAGGTAATAGAAATGAAAGGGGTGATCGTTTAGTTCAGTTTTGTCAAAGCGAAGATTTAATAATAACTAATACATTCTTTAAACTACCCCCAAGGCGACTATATACGTGGACGTCACCTCAACATACACAAGAAAAAGTGGTCAGAAACCAAACAGATTACATATTGGTGACAAAAAGATACCGTAATGCCGTAAAATCTACTAAAACTTTCCCTGGAGCTGATATCGGTTCGGATCATAATCCAGTAGTATCTGTGATAGAAGCTAGACCAAAGAAAATAAGAAAGCCATCATTCCAGCATTAGACTTAAGCCAGCTTAAAAATGAACATCTACGACAAACAGTGCGAGAAGAAATAAACACCAGCCTCAGTGTAGCAGAAAGCCAAATCCGCAGAACAAACAACATAGATGAAAAACTTAAGTATATAAATACTATAATAAGAACTACGGGAACGAAACACCTAACCAAATCTGCAAAGAAACATAAGGTGTGGATGACACCAGACATTCTAGAACTAATGGATGAAAGACGTAAAATGAAGAACAATGCAGAAAAATACAAAGAGGTTGATAGGAACATAAAGCAAAGAATAAGAAATGCCAAAGAATCATGGATTACAGAACAATGTGTAGAAATGGAAAACTATGAAAGAAAGTACGACACGTTCAATATACATAAAAAAGTAAGAGAAATTACAGGAACCAAAAGAAGACGTCAAATATGTTTGCTTAAGAACAAAGATGGAAAGATTATTATAGATTTAACAGAGAAAATTAATAGATGGAGTGAATACATAAGAGAATTATTTGAGGACAACAGAAATAACATTGTTCTGATATATGGCGAAACGGGACCTGAAATTCTAAAATGTGAAGTAGAAATGGCACTTAAAAATTCCAAAACTGGGAAGGCAAATGGACCGGATGAGGTTCCTACCGAATTGCTAAAGCTCTTGAATGATGAATCAATAGGTATAATATTGCACTTATTTAATACAATATACAATACTGGTATTATACCTCAAGAGTGGCTGTTGTCTACATTCGTTACACTGCCAAAGAAATCTAATGCTAAAGAATGTTCAGAACATCGAACAATATCTTTAATGAGCCACCTACTAAAGATATTTCTAAAAATCATCCACAACCGAGTTTATCAAAAGTTGGAGTCAGATATTAGTAATACACAGATGGGGTTCAGAAAAGGGCTTGGTGCTCGAGAAGCTCTCTTCGGATTGAATGTTCTCACACAAAGATGCCTAGACGTTAATCAGGAGGTACATACGTGTTTTATCGATTTTGAAAAAGCGTTTGACAGAGTACGCCATGATAAGCTTAGAGAGATTCTTGAAAGGAAGGACATAGATAATAAAGATCTGCGAATAATTCTCAATCTATATTGGAATCAGAAAGCTAACATCAAAATAGAAACTGAAACATCACAAGCAATAGAAATACGTAGAGGAGTACGACAGGGTTGCATTTTGTCACCTCTGTTATTTAATGTATATAGTGAAAGCATCTGTCAGGAAGCCCTTTTACAAGCAAACGGAGGAATCGTAATTAATGGAGAGATTGTAAATAATATTCGATACGCGGACGACACTGTACTAGTTGCAAGAACAGTAGAAGAATTACAAAGATTACTTACAGACATAAATATTGCTTGCAACAATTATGGTATAAATATCAATATTAAAAAAACCAAGTATATGGTCTTCAGTAAAAACATGACACAACCAGCGTATATTAGTATAAACGGCACTCAAGTTGAAAAAGTATCAAGTTACAAATACTTGGGAACTTTAATAAACGAAACTGGAGACCAAAACAGTGAAATAAAAAGACGTATCGAAATTGCCAGGGCCACCTTCATAAAGATGAGAAAATTCTTCTGCAACAGAAATATAAGCATCCCTCTACGATTAAGAATGCTGAGAGGCTATGTATTTAACACGCTATTATACGGTGTAGAGGCCTGGACTCTCAAACAGAACAACATGAAAAATATTGAAAGTTTCGAGATGTGGTGCTACCGTCGAATGCTGAAGATTAGTTGGGTTGAAAGAATAACAAACTGTGAAGTAATACGAAGAATAGGAAAAGACCCAGAGATTTTGTTAACGCTAAAGCGAAGAAAACTCGAATATTTTGGTCACCTGATGAGAGGACATAAATACGCATTACTTCAAAATATAATGCAGGGAAAAATAGAAGGAAAACGGAATCCAGGCCGTAGAAGAATGTCATGGTTGCGGAATTTGAGAGAGTGGTTTGGCTGCACCACTAATGAACTCTTTAGGTCAGCCGTAAACAAGGTCAGAATAGCCTTGATGATTTCCAATCTCCGATAGGAGTGGCACAAAAAGAAGAAGACGACATTAATAGTAACCAATACCGAATGAGAACAACTGCTGAGGTCAAGTAGATGTACAGAGCTACCGCCTATACCGCCTGTCCGTTCTGTCCTGACCGTTCAAGATGGAAGCAAGTTGTGCAGTCAGTCAAGACCCACCCCGGGTTGTAGTGCTACGAGAAAAAGAAGAAGAAGATAACGTTCTTGCCCAGTGGATACCGTCAATAAAAGCCAATTACTAAGAAGCCAATAACAAAGTGTACAAAGGAAAATGAGACTAGCTAATCCTAGTTGCGATTAGTAGGGTATTCCGATCCTGACAAAAGAATCTTTGGTGTCTCAAGTCCGGAAGTTGAATGAACAGCATACAACCACACTTTTTGGAAATCTTTGTTACTAATATGATGGCTAGTAAAAGCACTGGTCGGATTTTCCAAAGCCGAGTCCTACAATGAGAAATGATATGGTTTTGGAACGGCAATTTGAAACTAGAAATGTTTTCCTGTTCACGATGTGAATAAATATATTGAATAAATATATAAGAATAAATTCCTTGCTGACAACCAGACAACTGCTTTGGCAACTCGCCAGATCTGAATCCAATAGAAAATCTTTGTAAGCTCATGAATAAGAAATTTTTAATGTAATTATAAATACAAAGCCCTGTAATAACATTATCTGAATTGACGGAAACCTTAAAAGAGGTTAAAAACGGAAAAGCCGCAGGGCCTGGAGACATTCCCATAGAGCTGGTTAAATATGGGCCTACTGCACTTTTAGAATTAATAGTAGACCTTTTTAATAAATGTATGTGTGGAGACTAGGAAATTGCTAAAGATTGAATAAATCTTATATAAGCTCCATATATAAGAGAGGGAATAAAAGAGACTGTTCCAATTATAGAGGTATTTGTGTGACGAGCTCTGTGGGCCGGTTGTACGACAGAATATTAAAGAAGAGGGTTGAAAGACAGATACAAGATATTGAAGAACAAAGCGGCTTTCGTACCGGGAGATCCTGTCTTGATAATATATTTATCCTACGACAAATAATTGAAAAGCGTGTCGAAAGAAGTAGAGAGACCCATTTGGTATTTATAGACTTTGAGAAAGCATATGATAGTGTCCCGTTAAAGAAAATGTTTGAGGTCCTCGAAAGGTCCGGATTGGATTCGACGTATATTCGAGCGATATATAAATTGTACGAAAATGCAGTTAGTTGTGTAAAAATTGGAACCAGAACTTCAAATGAATTTAAAGTCACTAAAGGCCTAAAGCAAGGAAGCTGTTTGTCACCGACACTCTTTAAAATATACGTCCAAGAAACATTGTGGAATTGGAGAAATAAATGTAGATTTATGGGCATCGAAGTGGGACAAGAAACTCTGTATACATTGTTGTTTGCTGATGATCAGGTGGTGGTTGCAACCGATGAGGAAGATATAAATTATATGAATCGAAAATTATTTGAAGAATATGCCAAATGGGGGCTTACTGTAAACATAAGCAAAACAGAATATTTAAAAATTGGAGGAAATACCACAGATCTGAGGCTTGAAAACGCAGTCATAAAAGGTTGCAACCAGTATAAATATCTAGGAAGCATCATATCAGCAGATGGCAGAGTTAAGATAGTTGTAAAAAACCGAATAACCCAAGGGAAAAAATTCATCCGAATACTGAATTCATTACTGTGGTCTAATAAAATAAAGATGCATACCAAACTTCGTGTATACAGAGCAATTGTAGAACCGATTACCACATATGGTGCCGAATGTTGGACGATGACAAAGAATGAACGAGATAAAGTAGACGTTGTGGAAATGGATTATCTTAGAAGGTCATGTCGAGTATCGACAATGGAAAGAATCAGGAATGAGGAAATACGAAACCGTACAGGAATTAGAGATGCTCTTTCAGATAGAATACAAGGAAGGCAATTACAATGGTATGGTCACGTGATGAGAATGGAGGGGGAGCGGTGGCAAAAGAAAGCCTTAATGTATGTTCCGCAAGAAAGAAGGAAAAGGGGAAGACCACCAAATTCCTGGAGAAGAGAAATTACAAAAACAATGCAATGTAGAGGCTTAGAAGAGGGAGATTGGAGAGATCGGAAAAGATGGAGGCTGAAATGCGGGAAGTGGCAATCGCCGTAGGACCCCCGTTATATGATGATGATAAATACAAAGCTTCAATTGATCTAGCGCTTAATAGAATTATGGCACAGGACTGGAAATATTCCATAAAATTGAGAGGAATGCATAGCAAGTATGCCAAAAAGCTGCCAGATAATCATCCCTGCAAAGGATTACAGTACCAAGTATTAGGCTTAAGGCATAATTTTAAGTGTTTTTATGTAATTACTCGCTTCTTTTTTAATATTTGTAAACTTTATAAGATTGTGAATTACAGTAAAATAGAATTAAGCACAAAATATGTTTTATAGCTCAATTTCATACCATTTTTAAACAAAAAGTAAAATTTTATGGGGTGGCTCTAATAATTTGATCAACCACTGTATCTCTTTTATATATTTCCAATATCTTTGAATTATTTTTGCAGAAAAAGAAACCGAAATTAACAGTTTTAATAAATGTTTTACCTCCTGGTAGATTGGGCAGCACAAAATCATCAGGTTTCGTTTTGACTTCTTTCTTTTTCAGTAAGCTAGAGGTAAAACTATTATACCAAATTGGAGTGTTATCGAATGGGTTACTATGGTCGCCGGTGGCAAATATATTATCAACAACTGCGTTTCTTTCCAACTTCTTGAGAAATTGCGTCCTGGGATTGGTTAGAAGAGGTACCTAGAAATTAAAATCATAGTAACTGACAAATTTATGAATATAATTTTTTAAGTAATAGCCCATATAAGATTTGTTCAGGGTTGATTGTGTGATTGTACTTAGATAACATTGATATATACCTGTGTGGACTTGGTTGTCAAGTTGTTAATACTTTGTAATACGTTTGGCGATTTCTTTGGGGGATCTTTATTAAAACTAATATTATTAATAGTAGGGTGTAGAATCAAATGGGATTGCGGTGATCGATTGAAGTCCCCATAATCTAAATTCTGAAATTGAGGTGAATCAGAGAGCTCATCCTTTTGGTGTTCCTGGAAAAAATAAATTTAGTTATGCTTTGGTTAAATGAATTCGGTTAGTGGGTTTATGGTTGGAGAATGATCGTTTTGATTTCTAGGTAGATTATAGTGGAGATTCTAGGTAGAATAAAACGGTAAGTTAAGGTATGTAGAATTTCCTCATCAAGGAAATACCTAAATAGAAAACCCACCCATACCAACCAGTACTTGCATGCCAACTCTCATCACCCACCTCATCAATTAATTTAGTCATTAATACTCTAGTCTCCAGATCAATATACCTTTGCAATGATGCAAGTAGATCTGCTGAGCTCTCTTCTTTAAAAGAAGCCCTCATCCAAAATGGTTATCGCGAAAACCACATTAATATTAGCAGCACTCACAGGCATTAATCTTCTGCTCAACCTTAACCCAAAGACTCAGGTCCTCATCACTGACAAAATCCTTAAATCGAGTGGAATGAAAAAAATATTTACCCCCCAACAAAAACTTTCATCTCTTGTCCGAACAATCAAAAACAACATTCCAAATAAATCACATGAAATTTATGAAATTCCTTGTGTAGACTACCTTTGATTTTATTTAGGCCAAACCAATCGTAAAATCCAAAACAGGATTTATAAACATTTCAGCTTTAGATAACACCATTTTCATACAGGTCACAAAATTAATTTATAAACTGTATTACCATAGCCCCCATCCATTTCTATTAACCAAGAATTGTCTGAGAGGCCATAGAGATTAAAAAACGTCCCAATTGTCTTTGTCTTAATAAAAGAGATGACGGACTCAGTTGCCTTCGACATGGAGATCTTTTCTAAAGAAAAAATATCGGCCGCTTGTTAACGACGTCGTCATCGATGGTATAAATTAACCGTCTGCCATTCCGAGCAACAGTAGTGCAATGAGTAGTAAGAGTAAAGAAAGTTGAAGGTTCAGGTTCAGTAAATAAAACCTACTGGACAACAGCAGGGAAGTGAGAAGACTTAGAGACACAAACCCTTGGACTTACCAGATAGATTTTCATAAGTAAATTGTTTGGAATATAAAAAAACAATTTAAAATTAATTATAGTTAAATTTAATAAGGAAGGTACCAGCACTGGCAAGTATTTGCTCATGTTAATTTCTCTGTTTCAATTATCAAATTTGATTATTCTCCAAACAGGGCAGATTGCAAATCTTTACTTGGAAAATAAAAAAAAGAAAGATTTATTCTTCTTTTTCCCTAGTGTACATATTTCTCTACAGTGGTAATTAAATGGTTACATTCTATATGTATTTTACCTGTCTGGAACTGAATTTGGCCAAACTTTCCAGTGATTTTTCGAGCATCTGAATCTCCGAAGCGTTGTTGCTGCTATGACTGACCTTTGTTCCACGATCTTTGGAAATCAGCGCACCTTGGCTGGATCTTTGCTGTAACACGTTCAATCTTTGCGCAGTTTCAGCCAAAGTTATTAAATTTTTGTCGTTGAAATTCTCATTTACTGTTCCATCTCCGTTACTGAGTTTTCTCTTCATTGTGCCTATAAATGGATATTATTAAAAAATAAAAATATCAAAATCTTAAAATTAGCGGAATAGTTGGTTTTAAAAAATTACCCTCTGTAAGCGAAAACCTCCACTTCGAGTCTCTGCTTGGTTTCTTCTCACCTCGTCCCTCTTATCCGTTGACATAAGTATCTCAGTCTTGTACTTCCTCAAGAGTGGATTATTCAGTTCGACGTTAACCTTCTCCCTCAAAGCTGGTAAAAACCTCTGTGGGAACATATCGTGGGTGAAGAAGCTGTGCTTCAGGAGCTCGTCAGCCGTTAGTCGCTGCTGAGGGTCCATCTTCATGCAACTCTCTAGGAATTCTATAGTAAGTGTTGGCCAGGATTCGAAGTGTTTGTACAAGCCTATGCTTTCTTCTGTAGGAAATTTGACTGTTGTTCTAAGTTTAGAGTTCTTTGATAGTAAATGCTGGTGTCTGGAACACGGTTTTCCTAAAAATATATACAAATTCAATGGCCAAAATAAATACACTCGAGCAACAGGCTGCAAGAGTAATATAAATTATTTTAATTTTAAAAAGAAAAAGACAGTCAAGATTTTATTTCACGTACAATGCGTCCAATGCGTACAATGAAACCAGCTAAAAAGAAGTGACATATTACAGGACATGTGTCAAGAGCAAATGAAAATTACCCACCCAGACGAACTCTATTATCGGTCCCAGTGGGAAATAGGAGTAGAGGCAGACCACGACTGAGATGGAGGGACGGTGTGGACGAGGACGCAAGGAAGATCGGCGCGGCAAATTGGCAACGGTTGGCGATGAACAGAAACGACTGGCGAAATAGACTGGGGAAGGTCAAGGCTCAACTAGAGCTGTAGCACCACTGATGATGATGATGATATCACAGCTAAAGGGTCTGCAACTAGACGAATTAAACGATATAATAACAACAGAACTACTAGAAGCAGGCCGAAGATTGCTAATAAACAAAAGCGAAACAACAACAAAAAATTAGCGTTAAATCACAAGATATGCTAAAAAAACGACGACAACTACTGAATGATAACAAAAGAAATACAGTGGAGTATATCGAACTGAACAAAACCATAAGAAAACAGATAAAGGAAGATTTAAAGAAATACCAAGAAGACCGCATTAAGAAAATCATAGAGAAGAACAAAAGTTTAAAAACAATGAAGACAAATATAGGAAAAGAAAACTAATCATGCTTAAAGCTGAGAACAATGAAGAAAGAGATCTAGGAGAAATAGTAAAAATCACAGAAAGATATTACACAGACCTATACAGTTCTAAAAATGACCCACCACTATCATCTAAACAGAAACTCACGAGGAAAATACAAAATGTTGGCTCAGAGGTATTACCAGAAATAACTGAAGATGAAATCGAAAAATCCATAAACGACATGAAAAGAAATAAAGCGGCCGGTGAGGACAAAATACTGGCGGAACTGCTAAAAGAAGGAGGAGACACGATAAAAAAAATGCTAAAAATACTGTTCAACAAATGTCTGTTTGAAGGTAAAATACCTAAACAATGGAGAAATGCCAACACAATCTTAATACATAAGAAAGGAGACCGAACAGACCTAAACAACTACCGTCCTATTTCCCTTTTGTCACAACTATATAAAACCTTCACAAGAATAATAAACAACCGACTAACCTATAAACTTGATAACTACCAACCAGTGGAACAGGCCGGATTCAGGAAAGGATACAGCACAATCGACCATCTACATGCGCTTAAAATCTTAATTGTGAAAACCAATGAATACAACCTTCCGCTGTACTTAGCATTCGTAGATTATGAAAAGGATATCGACAGCATTGAACACTGGGCGGTTGAAGAAGCTCTGGACAATAGTAGAATAGATTCAAGATACCGACAATTGATACATGATATTTACCAAAACGCAACCATGACCGTAATTATGGACGACAAATTAATAACGGATAATATAACAGTTAAACGAGGAGTCCGACAAGGCGATATAATTTCACCTAAACTGTTTACCTTGACCCTCGAAGACATAATAAAATCAACAGATTGGGAAAACAGAGGAATATGTATTAACGGAAAATACCTAAATCACCTTAGATATGCGGATGATATACTCCTGATCTCCTCGGAACGACAAGAACTGGAATTAATGCTGAATGAACTTCATGAAAAATCACTGCAAAAAGGCCTAAAAATTAACTTCAACAAAACAAAAGTAATGACAAACACGGAAGACCAAGAGGCAATAAAAATAAAAACAGAAAAAATAGAACAGGTAAATGAGTATATCTATCTAGGACAAGCAATCAGAGCTAATAGAGAAAATCAAACAGCCGAAATATCGAGACGAGTAAGAATGGGATGGGCAGCGTTCGGCAAACTTTCTTACATTCTAAGAAAAAAAAATCCCTCTATACTTACGAAGCAAGGTATATAACTCCTGTATAATACCGGTGCTCACCTACGGAGCACAGACATGGACATTTACACAGGCCAATTTGGATAGGATAAGGAAGGCACAAAGAGCGATGGAGAGACAAATGTTGGGTGTATCACTTAGAGATAGAAAACGTAACCAGTAGATCAGAACCAGAACAAAGACAGTAGACGCGATAGAACAAGCAGCAAAACTGAAATGGAAATGGGCTGGACACAATGAACGTCTCCCAAGACGGACGATGAAACAATGCCATCGGAAAGTGGCGTCCATACAATGCAAAGAGATCAAGAGGCAGACCACAGATGAGGTGGAAAGATGACATCAGGAAACAAGGAGGTCCCACATGGCAGAGAACAGCTCAAGATAGGGAAAGATGGAGAGAACTGGGGGAGACCTATATCCAACAATGGAAGGATAGAGAATAGGTTCAAAAAAAAACAATGCGCCTGTGTATCTGCTTATACGTATTTCGCCCTAATAGGGCGCATCAGAACAGCTATTCACAGGCGTTCCGAACGTGAAAATAAATCTTTTCTGTCTTAAGAAGCAACTCTAACATGGCTTCGTATAGACGCAAATAGCGACTAATATCTGATATTAGAATCCGTAAACTACTTTTCGAAACCGAATTCAATTTTTGCTTTAATCTGTGCCTTCTAAGAATTGCAAGGCAAAGCAGACGTTGATAAAAATGTTAATAGAGACATGGGGAATCTAAAATTTGCATTCCACGACTTCTTCTTCTTGTCGTGCCTATTAGTTACGGATGTTGGCAACTATAATAGCATGGCAATTCTAACTTTATTGACCGCAGCTTGAAATAGTCCTGAAGTGGTCAAGCAAAACATTTTCGTAAATTCGCGAGGAATGATATTCTTCTTCTTCCTGGTCCCGTCTTTCCGTAGACCTTTCCTGTATGCAGCAGGTTATATCTATGGTCGTTTCGCATTATATGTCCAAGATATTCTAGCTTGCGCTGTTTTACTGTGGATATGATTTCACATGTCTTATCCATCCGACGTAGAACCTCAATGTTTGTTATTCGGTCCACCCAGGAGATCCCCAGTATCCGTTTATAACACCACATCTCAAACGCCTCGAGTTTTCCCATGGATGCCTGGGTTATTGTCCATGATTAAACCCATAGAGTAGCACTGTAAACACGTAGCATCTCAATAAACGGATTTTTTTGTTTTATCTCAACTGAGTGGTCCCATTGGTCGTTTACATTCCACGACATATCTCCTCAACTAAGCAAAATTCCTTAGCGAATTGGTTTCTTGTAGGGGAACCTGGCCCAAAATGACATACTAGGGTAAAATGACACATCCGGTGTATCTCTAACTTGGCAACATGGCTATGCGCTAAGAAGTTTTATACAAGAGCATCACGTCGTGCATAATTGATGTTCCAGGCAGTCCAGTGTGGAGACATGGGCTGGTTAAAAGCATCGATAACTTTTAATGTGCCCCAAGCTACTTTAAGAAGACGAGCATCAGACAAGAGTAAACGGGTATCAGGTACTAATAAAGGTCTTGGCCGGTACAAAACTACGTTCTCTGTAGAATTAGAAAGAGACCTCGTAACACACATAAAACTCCTAGAATCAAGTTTGTTTGGATTATCTTGTAATGACGTTCGTTCTTTAGCCTACCAGTTAGCAGATCGAAATGGAAAAGTACACCGATTTAACACAACCACTAAGATGGCTGGTTGGGATTGGTTACGAGGGTTTCGGTCTAGACACCCCGATATATACCTTAGAAAGCCCGAGTCCACTTCTGCAGCAAGAGCGCAATCATTCAACAGCCGCAAATTGCCAATTTTTTAAAACTTTTAGAGGATACTATTACAAATAACAAAATTAATCCTACACGCATATGGAATGTGGATGAATCAGGCCTATCCACGGTTCAAAAACCCGGCAACCAAGGGTCGGAAGCAAGTGGGCCTAATTATAAGTGCGGAAAGAGGGCAGCACATAACGATGGTTGCTTGCATTAGCTCAGTGGGGAATTATGTTCCACCAACACTTATATTTCCCAGGAAAAATTGGAAAAAATAATTAATAGATGAAGCGCCTTTAGAAAGCGCACAGGAAACGACAGGGGTGACAGGCGAAGTTCCTAACATGGATGAAACATTTTAAAGAATATTCTAATCCTTCTATAGAAAACAAGGTTATACTGTTGCTTGATGGGCATGCGAGCCATAAAAACATTAATGTTTTAACTTTCGCCAAAGAACATGGAATAGTGATATTGTGTTTTCCGCCGCACTGTACCAATCGTCTACAGCCGTTAGATGTATGTTTCTTTGGTCCATTAAAGATCTACTATGATCAAGAAGATACCAAATGGATGAAGTGTCATCCAGGCAGAACAGTTTTGCAATACCAAGTTGGAGGATTATTTGCTACAGCGTATGGAAAAGCAGCTACACACCAAAATGCCGTTAGTGGATTTTTAAAGACTGGAATTTGGCCCCTTAATTCCGACATATTCCCTGATTATTTATTTAATCCTTCCAAAATAACAGATATTTAAGAAGAAGTTGCAATTCAACCCCTAACAGAGTCAAAAGAAGAGAATGATAATGTTTTGCGACATCAAGATTTTCCAGATCAAGGAAACAAACCGGTTTCTACACCTAGACCAAACTCACTTGAAAGTTGTTCTTCAATTAATCCTGGTATTTGTCCACTTGAAATTTCACCTCTTCCATCGTGTTCAGGTGTCCAGTCACGCTCCAAAAAAAGAAAATCAGAAGGAACAAAAGTTCTAACGGCTACCCCAAATATGAAAGAACAAAAAGCCAAAGCACTCGAGAAGCGAGCTACAGAAAAATGTCAAGCTACAAAGCGAGCAATTAAGAATCTGACTTTAATGACACAAGATCGCGAGGAGGAAACAAAGACCATTGTGTCAGATGATGACGAAGACGAAAATAATCCTCCATGTTTATATTGTAACAGTTTGTACTCCCATTCAAGGTCCAAAGAATTCTGGATTAGGAAAAAAATGCTCAAAATGGGCACACTGTAATTGTGCTGGTATCTCAAAATCGTGCAAAAAATTTATTTGTGAACTTTGCTAATTTAGTTTATATGACATTTTATCCATGTGAGTGTGTCGTTTTAGCCGAATATACTTGGATAAAATGACATAGCAACGTTTATTTTGTTTCAATTAAAAAATATTGTGTTGTTAGAGTTTTATGTTCCATGATCTGTTCTACTTCCAAACAATGAACACCATTTATGTTTTTTTTAATTTTTATTAAAAAAATAAAAAAGTTATTGGACGACAAAAAAGTAGTATGTCATTTTAGGCCAGGTTCCCCTACTCGTACAGAGTATATCGGAATAAAAAGAAACAGAAAGTCAAGATTTGATTATTAACATCTTTATCAAGTTCTGTTTTGCCTTGCAATTCTTAGAAGGCACAGATTAAATCAAAAATCTGAATTTGGTTTCGAAAATTAGTTTACGGATTCTATTTTAATTTTGTTTCAATGTCTTATTGGTGGTTTTTGGTGTCATTTTGACGTTACTGGGCTGTGTCCATGTGTATATTTCATTTTTTCTCACTAATCGATGTCTTTGAGCTGAATGTGATCTATTTTGGGGGTGTTCAAACTTTCTATTTTTCTTCTAGGAATAAATTTTCACACTTACCCATCATTTTGACAATCAAATAAAATTGATCAATATCACTATTTCCGGGAAACAGAGGATCTCCCGTCATCATCTCGGCGAACAGGCATCCAATTGACCATATATCTATCGGAGTACCATAATGGGGTTCAGCTACAAGAAGCTCCGGAGCTCGGTACCATCGCGTAGCTACATACTCAGTACAAGCCTCTGACGTGGAACTGATTAATCTTGCAAAACCGAAATCACATAATTTAACAACACCTAGTGAAGATACCAGGACATTTTCTGGTTTCACATCTCTGTGTACGATCTGAAATTGATGCAATATAAATAAATACAGGATAATAGCTATCAAGAGATTATTGAAATATTTTTAATTTTGTGTTTACTTTACGTTTGATTACTTACATGATTGCTATGACAGTAATTAATTCCTCTGGTCACCTGGAATATCCTTTGCCTACACCTTTCTTCACCCAATCCTCCTGGCATCTTATCCAGTTCATCCAATACGGTACCTTCTAAATATTCAAATACCAAGTGAAACCGTTTTTTGTACCGAAAGACCTCTATCATCGCTACCAAATTTTCATGTTTCAGTCTCTGAAGAATAAAAAATAAATTATGTATGTATAGGTATTATACAAATATCATATAATAGTATTATAACAAATTGTCTTTGTCTTTGTCGACTTTGAAAAAGCATATAATACGGCCAATCAAAGTGAAATGCTCCAAGCTCTAACACAATGTAGAATAGATCAGCGATACATATCCCTCATCAAGGACGGAGAACTACTAACAGAGAAGCAAAAAATTATAATGAGATGGAAACAATATTTCGAACAAAATCTAAATGCAGACAACGAAAATGATCAGAACGAGACAATATATTATACGGCGGAGCTGCACATCGAAAATTCGAGTTATGAAGAAGTAGTTCAGATAATAAATAAACTAAAAAACAATAAAGCACCAGGAACGGACGGAATTTCGGCAGAATTATTAAAGCATGGAGGACCTGAACTCTGGGAAAGAATCCATTACCTAATAACATTGATATGGACGAAGGAGCAAATGCCAGAGGAATGGACAGTTGGCCTCATACAACCAATATATAAAAAAGGAGATAAGAGGGAATGCCAGAATTATAGGCCAATTACATTGCTAAATGTAATATACAAAATTCGTTCTGGTATAATCTACAATAGTTTATTAGAATACTCCGAAAATATAATTCGTGATTATCAAAATGGATTCAGAGCAAATAGAGCCACTACAGATAACATATTCATACTAAGAACGATACAAGAAAAAGCCTATGAATACGACATAGACCTATATAATATGTATATAGACTTTAAACAAGCTTTTGATAGTGTGAAAAGAGACAGAATGCTGGAAGACCTTTGTAATCTAGGTATACCTAAGAAATACATCAGCCTCATAAAAATGACGTTGCAGGGTTCAAAAGCCGCAGTCAGAGTAGATGGAGAACTGACTCCCCTGTTTAACATCAACATGGGAGTAAGACAGGGAGATGCCCTATCAACCATGCTATTCAACTTAGTTCTTGAGGCAGTCATCAGAAAAACCAATATAACCGGCCATATAAACACCAAATCAGTACAAATTACTGCATATGCTGACGATGTAGCCATCATTAGTAGGAATAAGCCACGACTAATGGACGTGTTCAAACAAATTGATCCTGAAGCAAGAAAAAGAGGTCTCAAAATAAACGGAGCAAAAACGAAGTATATGACAGTCAAAAGAATAACTGACAATGAAAATAATATCACAATAGACAACTATACTATCGAACGAGTGAATGCCTTTACATATCTCGGCACAGAAATCAATCAGAAGAACTCCGCAAGTAGCGAAATTAATGCACGTATTTCCAGCGGGAATCGTACATACTATGCTAATAAAAGATTGATGACATCGAAATTATTAGACAAAAGAACCAAAATGACTATTTACAGAACACTGATTAGACCCGTAGTAACGTATGGATATGAAACTTGGGCAATGACGAAAAAAGATGAAGCCCAACTCAGGACATTCGAGAGAAAAATACTGAGGAAAGTATATGGCCCGGTACAAGAGGAAGATGGCACATGGAGAATAAGGAGAAACGACGAGGTTAATGAGTTAAATGAAGGTTATGACATTGTAAGATTTGTGAAAAGTCAAAGACTGTCATGGCTGGGACATGTGCAGAGACAAAATGATGCAAAAACAACAAAGAAAATGTTACAATGGAAGCCCATAGGAAGGCGAAAAAAAGGAAGGCCCAGAACGAGATGGTTGGATGACGTGGAAGACGACCTGAAAACAATGAACATAAGACAATGGAGAAGAAGTGCACAAGAGAGATCTGAATGGAAGGACATAGCCAGACAGGCAAAGACCCATCCAGGGTTATGATGCCAAAAGAAGAAGAAGACATATCCCTCATCAGATACATCTATCAGCATGCTACAGCCCGTGTAAGACTTAATGAAGATACTGGGACCTTTCGTATTGAAAGAGGCGTTCGGCAAGAAGACAACATGTCTCCTAAATTATTTACAACTTTGTTAGAATACGCTTGTAAAACAATAGATTGGAATGAAAAGGGCATCAATGTAGATGGAAAATTTTTAAATAACCTTAAATTTGCAGATGATACCGTTCACAGATAATGCTCCAAGACTCCATACTGCCACAAAAAGGTCTTAAAATAAATTTTTCCATAACACAATTTATGACAAATTTAGTCCACAACAAAAACATCTCAGTAGAAGACAAAGATATTGGGCCAGTTGACTCCTATAAATACTTGGGCCATGAAATCAGAATAAGTCGAGACAACCAAACAATCGAGCTTAAAAGAAGAATAAACCTCGCTTGGGCTGCATTTTGAAAGATGAAGGATATTTTTAGGTCTAAGATTCTAATGTGTCTGAAAAGAAAAGTATTTAATCAGTGTATTTTGCCAGTGATGACCTACGGCGCAGAAATCCTAACACTCGCAAGAACAACAGAGAGTAAACTACAAGTTGTTGAAAAGGCAATGGAGAGAATAATGTTAGGAATTTCTCTAGGTGATAGAATACCCAATGCTACTAAAAGCAAAAGATCAGGAGCAGCAGACGTTATTGAAAGGATAACAACACTAAAGTGGAACTGGGCAGGTCATGTAGCAAAATCAGTTGATTACCAATGGACAAAAAGAATTTTAGAATGGAGACATAAAAAGAGTGACTAGAGTGACGTTAGAGGCTAGTTGATGATGATGATGATTATAACAAATTGTTTACATATAAAAGAAATATAGAAGAAAAATGCGGTCCTGGCATACGACAAATGCTATGGCTGTGTAACCTCAAGGAATATCTGAAAGACATGATTAAAATCTTACCTTAAGCATTCGAATTTCCCTAAGCGCCATTTTTCTGATTGTGGCATCTTCTTCAGTCTCCAGAAATTTCTTAATAGCTACAATTTGATCGGTTTCCCGATGTCTACATTTCATCACCAAGCCATAAGAACCTTCACCAACGATTGCCAAATGTTCGTATTTTTCCATTTTCTATTATCCTTTAAAAATGTACATGTCGATCTAAAACAATTAAATCACAGCATTAGAAATTTCAATAACTTTCCTTCTTTCTTAATGGCTTTAATTTTAAGCGGGGCTATAGAATAGAATAGAAATATGCTTTATTGTCACTGACAATTGTACAATTTTATGGACAAAGCTTACATATATATATATATATATATATATATATATATATATATATATATATATATACTTCATCTAATTTATATAACGATGCACGTCATCGGCGTCATAGCCTGTGACGTCATATGATACCATTTTTTCGGAACACACTGTAACTGTAATTGAACGAAGGTAAAATTTTGGCATAAATTGGTAACACTTATTTGACAGTTGCGGTGTTGACACTTTGTGTAGTTTATTATTTTTAATTTTAAAGTGAATATCTCTTGTTTTATATTTTTACCTATTTAATAAAATCTGTTCTTTTTAGAACGAAATTAGTGTGTTTTATTTCAAAAATGTCACGTAAGAATTTAAATAGTCGTTGTAAAGAGATGGTAATACTTTTGCAATAATTATGTGACATATTTGATTTAAAATGGAGTCAGGATTTTTTTATACTTTGGCAACTATGTTAACTTCGATCTCTGACGTAGATAATGACGTAAGTCGTTATCTAAATTAGATGAAGTATATATATATATATATATATATATATATATATATATATATATATATATTCAGGGATTCTATGGTATTCACTGACTTCCCTCGCTCAACCGTTTCCATCTCTCTTTGTTGTCCCATTCTCCATCATTTAGGTCTCTCTTCTTTGCTTTATTTCGTCATTACTTCTCCTATCCATTCTTGTTACTCTGCAGCATCTTCAAAGGCATTCCGTTACTGTTCCGTACTATCTTACTGCTAGTTTTCTTACTTATAATCCAATTTTCAGCCCCATATCTCATAATACTTTGCACTGTTTTATAAATCTGTGTTTTTGTCTTCATATTTAGGTGTCTATCCCACCATATTGAGTTAAGTTGTCGGATTACTGTTGTTGTTTGTCCTAATCTTTGTGTAATTTTTTCCTCTGTTGTTGCCTTTTTCGTGATTATAAACCTCAAGTATTTGAGTATTTATCCTTATTTATTGTAGGTATACCGATCTCAGTCAGATAGGTGGTGGTGACTCGTGCGGTATGACATCGTGCATTATCATGCAATAAAATAAAGGCATTACCAATAAATCCCGCATATGGAACCACATGTTCCTCCAAAATATCTCTGATGTAACGATCCGCCGTTAAATCTCCTCCACGTCCTCCACCAGGCACGAAAACCAGCTCGGTTTTCCCATCCATGGAAATGCCTGCCCAAAACATACAAGAACCGCTTCCATATGACACAATTTCTCGTATACAACATTGAGCAAATCGTTCCCCTGGCCTTCTTGTCGTTGTTATATAGGTAGATCCTACTTTCGTCCGAGAATAATACCTGACTCCATTGATAGTCGTCCCAATCCAGATGTTTGCGAGCAAATTCTAGTCGTCTTTGCTTCTGGGCTGCAGTTAGCTTGGGACCAGTAGCTACCCTTTTTGGTGTCAGGTTGGTTGCTTTCAGTCTCCTTCTAACTGTCCAAACGCTGGTAACCACACCTCGGACCTCTCTAAGCTCTTCTTTGAGATTAGCACCAGTCAAATGTCGATTTCTCAAAGATTTAGATACAAGAAATTGATCATCTCTCTCTGTTGTTATTCGTTTACGACCTCCTCCTTGTCGGCGGACATAATCACCAGTATCTTGGTACCGACGATACACTCAAGCCGCGGCAGATTGGCTTAAATTTAATAGATTTGTCACAGCTCTCTGGCTCAGGTCTTCTCTCAATAATGCTACTGCTTAAGCTGCTTTGACTGATGTGGTATCCATTTGTTATGAAGTTACGAACTTAATTGACTTGGGTTGCTATGGAAATTGATGCTTACGATGTTAACCAAATGTGTTAAGTGGATGCCTGTCGATTTCAATGGGTCAAATTATGAACCCCTCTCTACGTGTTGCATTATTTATTTGTAATACGTCAACCGATTTACCAAAAATCAAAACTTTTTTTAAACTCAATAATGAGGTTAATAATTGTACACTAAATATTTTTAAATTTACACCTTTTTGATTGGAACGGGAGACGTAATTTCGCAAAATAATTTTGGGTCGATTTTTTTGCACTCAAGTGTATAATAATAAATAGATGGTGTGGACTATGGAATATTAGTAGAAGACTGAAATGTTTACATTTGACAAAACAAAACGCTAAGTGATTTAGTGGATAGTACCTTAGTCTTTAATAATTTTAACTAAATAGACTACAAGCCAAATTAAAAAAAAATATATACTGAAAACGAGCAGTTTTGCATTATTTCGTAGATAACACCCTTTAATCGTACGAGAAAGAAAATGCCTAGATATAAACTAAACAATTTAACATAATAAGCTTTCGTGTGGACTGTTATTGCCTTTTATTAAATATGTAAATATAATTTGTAGTTACTATTGAGTCAGCCGCTCGTTTCCCGCGAAACAACAAAATTTCTGTTGTTAGATGCGTAGGAGTGAATATTTTAACCTAATTGCCTAATTTAGAACTTTCCTATTACGCTATAAATATACTGAAACCAACTATTTATAGTATCTTTGTTATATTTTCGTGCGTCAAAAGAATACCTGCTCCAAAGTATTTACATTTGTAACGACTTTCCAGAAAGGTATTTTCTTAATGTCAATTTTATGCGAGACCAAAACGAGAAGAATAGAGATTAATCAATAGGATTTTGTAGAAGAATTATATCTTTGAAGGCAAATATAAGATACCCAAAGATAATTTGTGACATTTTAGCGGTACTTAATTAATTTATTTAATGGAAATCACAGACATGTCTTGTCTAAGCGTCTTGTTTTTCGTCACTTCACACCATCTATATCTCATTCTACCACAGAACTTTACTAGAACGTTTTTTTTTTCGAACTAGGCTTCATGAAACTTGACATTAGCCAGGTAATTGTCCTCCATTAATTCAGCAATAATATGAACCACAAATGAAATTGAAGAGTTAAAAATATAAAAATAGTTTTACATCTACTCGAATAAATTACGAAATAGTCTAGCGGATCTAGCTATTTCATCACAAGCAAATTAACACCAACTATAGCTACAAGTTGTAGTTTATACCAACAGTATCAAGGAGATCGATACTTATAGTGTAAACTTAAGTTAATATCTAAATTGGAATTGAAGATAAGATTTGGGACTATTGAACAATCAATGATTCCAACAGTTGCGACAATACTGGACCCAAGGTTTAAAACAATACACTTTCAGGATTATGTGGCACATGAGAATAAAATGTGTTATAAGACATGAAACGAAACTCGTAGATGAATCAACATCTGCTTCTGAGATTAAAGGTTAAAGTGTCCGTGAAGAGCAAAAAGGTCTAGATCTATGGGCCTATCACAAAAAAGCTCACATGAAGAAATGAAGCAGTATAAGGTAGCATAAAAATGTCTATGTCTTATATTCTTTTCCGTTTGTTAGGAAACAATTATTAATTGCATAAGCAGGAACCACAACCACCAAAACAAAAAACCCTTAATGGACACACTATGCTGGAAAAACTAAATGCATGGCAATAAGAAAAAACGCACTTTTAAGAATACAACTGCAAGTAGATAATGCTCCAATCGATCCAGTGAAAAAATTTAAATACTTGGGAATGGTGATGAATGATCAATGGGATCCTCAACAAGAAATAAAATGCCGTACCAAACAAGCAAGACAAGCTTTTATTAAATTTAAACCGCTACTTCTCCTCCTCCTCAGTCCTAATACCTTTTGGAATGTGGTGACACAATCAGGTCTTTACAGTTTTCTCACAATTTTTGTCACAATTTCTCACCATTTTTTGTTTGAACTAACCAACGGCTTGGAGATCTTCCCCTAGATCTCATTCCTTCAACTCTACCCTCGACTATCAGTTTTTCCATCGTAGCAAACCGCTACTATGTAACCGCAATCTTTCCTTCAATCTCCGCTACAGGATGGTTAAATGCTATTATGTATGGTTAATATTGTTATACGGCATGGAAACATGGACGTTAAGAGTACCTTCCATTAATAAATTGGAGGCCTTCGAAATGTGGACGTTGCGAAGAATGTTCCGCATAACATGGACAGATAGGGTGAGAAACGAGGAAGTCTTAAGAAAGGCAAATACTGAGAGAGAACTACTCAATTTGATCAAGGTACGAAAAATTTGATACCTCGGCCATATTCTGAGAGGAAAAAAAATACGCAATCCCTCACCTAATCATCCAGGGAAAGATTAAAGGCAAGAGTGGAGTAGGTCGCAAACAATATGTCGTGGCTACGGAACATAAAAAACTGGACAGGCATAAATAACACTGGCGATTTTTTGCATGACGCCAAAGGCCTTAAGATAATTAACGCACTATAGGTGCACGGCACTATAAGAAGGACACACTATTGCACAAATTAATTCTTTCAAAATTGCAGTTAACACTAAGAAATCTGTACAGATAACTTTTACGTCCAGATATCTTGTGTTCTCAAGTCCATATCCATATCCCAATAAAGAATGAAGTCGAATATTTGGGCCTTAATCTTGACCAAAAATTAACATCGAAGGCACATATCAGAGCAAAAAAGCAACAACTAGATACAGGTAATTATATGAAAATATTTATATCTCTTTGTCAATCATTTTCCATCCACTCCTGAATATAGGACTCTCCCAATTGCTCCCATCTTTCTCTATCTTGCGCCAATCTAATCCACTATTTGCCTGCCACTGCTCTTATGTCATCTACCTATCTTTTTTGAGGTCTTCCCATGCTTCTTGTTGTCGTCCTTGGTCTCCATTCTAGAATTCTCTGGGTCCACCTGTTGCCATTATATCGGGCTACGTAACCTGCCCAGCGCCATTTCATTTTTGTAATTTCTTCAACAATATCCCTAATCTTCGTTCTACGTCTTATCTCGGTTTTTCTAATCTTGCCTCTCAGTGATATTCCAAGCATGATTCGTTCCATTGCTCT